CCAGAGTGTCAGTTTTGCAGATATGACAAGGAAGAGAAAGTAGATGCTGTGTGGGATCCATAAAGCTTCCCTCTTGTGGGAATTGTGTGGTTACCAAGGGAGCCCAGAGTCTTACCGGAGGGACCTTGACTACGCTTTTGCTCCCTCTCCTGTCTTTCCTTGAGCCCACCTTCCACACCTTCAGCAGATTCTGTGACTATACAGCAAGGCTGCAGCAAAATACATTCCCTTTGACTAATGCATCCACCACACCCACACCCCAACAGCAATATTTCAGCTTTTCTCTGTGTGTGTTTGTGTGCCAGCACACACTCTAAGGCTCATATATGAGGGAAAGGAGAAGAGAGAATATTTTGATTTCTGAAAGTCAGTGCAGCGAATGAGAGGAATATTAAGTATATCAGGGAGATAAGAGAGGTTGGGTTTGGGCAGCAAGGCAGCTGTAACCCTGCCCTCTGAATTATGCACAAGTGCACAAGGCAAAGCTATCAGCTTTTGAGTGTGCAAGTTTCGAAATCTTCCTACTCTTTCTGTTTCTTTTGTCAAGGTTGTCTGCAACAACTGCTCCAGCCTCCCACTTTCCCTCCACACCATTTAAAATTGTCCTTGGAAAGCGATGCCCAGTATAGTTTGTGCCTAAGGGCCCTTCCAGACAGGCCTTTAATGTGAGACTTAGAATCATAGAATCAAAGAGTTGGAAGAGACCTCATGGGCCATCCAGTCCAACCCCCTGCCAAGAAGCAGGAATATTGCATTTAAATCACCCCTGACAGGTGGCCATCCAGCCTCTGTTTAAAAGCTTCCAAAGAAGGAGCCTCCACCACACTCCGGGGCAGAGAGTTCCACTGCTGAACGGCTCTCACAGTCAGGAAGTTCTTCCTCATGTTCAGATGGAATCTCCTCTCTTGTAGTTTGAAGCCATTGTTCCGCGTCCTCGTCTCCAGGGAAGCAGAAAACAAGCTTGCTCCCTCCTCCCTGTGGCTTCCTCTCACATATTTATACATGGCTATCATATCTCCTCTCAGCCTTCTCTTCTTCAGGCTAAACATGCCCAGCTCCTTAAGCCGCTCCTCATAGGGCTTGTTCTCCAGACCCTTGATCATTTTAGTCGCCCTCCTCTGGACACATTCCAGCTTGTCAATATCTCTCTTGAATTGTGGTGCCCAGAATTGGACACATATTCCAGGTGTGGTCTAACCAAAGCAGAATAGAGGGGTAGCATTACTTCCCTAGATCTAGACACTATGCTCCTATTGATGCAGGCCAAAATCCCATTGGGTTTTTTTGCCGCCACATCACATTGTTGGCTCATGTTTAACTTGTTGTCCACGAGGACTCCAAGATCTTTTTCACACGTACTGCTCTCAAGCCAGGCATCCCCCATTCTGTATCTTTGCATTTCGTTTTTCCTGCCAAGTGGAGTATCTTGCATTTGTCACTGTTGAACTTCATTTTGTTAGTTTTGGCCCATCTCTCTAATCTGTCAAGATCGTTTTGAATCCTGCTCCTGTCCTCTGGAGTATTGGCTATCCCTCCCAATTTGGTGTCGTCTGCAAACTTGATGATCCTGCCTTCTAGCCCTTCATCTAAGTCATTAATAAAGATGCTGAACAGGACCAGGCCCAGGACCGAACCCTGGCACTCCACTTGTCACTTCTTTCCAAGATGAAGAGGAAGCATTAGTGAGCACCCTCTGGGTTCATCCATTTAACCAATTACTGATCCACCTCACCGTAGTTTTGCCTAGCCCACATTGGACTAGTTTCCTTGCCAGAAGGTCGTGGGGGACCTTGTCGAAGGCCTTACTGAAATCCAGGTACGCTACATCCACGGCATTCCCCGCATCTACCCAGCTTGTAACTCTATCGAAAAAAGAGATCAGATTAGTCTGGCATGACTTGTTTTTGATAAATCCATGTTGACTATTAGCGATGACCGCATTTGTTTCTAAGTGTTTGCAGACCACTTCCTTAACAATCTTTTCCAGAATCTTGCCTGGTATCAACGTGAGGCTGACTGGGCGGTAATTGTTTGGGGCATCCTTTTTTTCTTTCTTGAAGATTGGGACCACATTGGCCCTCCTCCAGTATGCTGGAACTTCTCCCGTTCTCCAAGAACTCTCAAAGATAATTGCCAATGTTTCCGAAATGACTTCCACTAGTTCCTTCAATACTCTTGGGTGTAATTGATCTGGCCCTGGGGACTTGAACTCATTTAGAGCAGCCAGGTATTCCTGGACGACTTGCTTCCCAATTTGGGATTGGATGTCCTCTAATTACTGGAGGTGTCCAAATGACCCCTCCAGGAGAAGCGAATTAATATGGAGTAAACCAGGTTTTAGTACATAAATCACAGAGATAAGTGGGTTTTTTTGCAGCTTATATAATACAATATTAAACATATATCAAACTTATATAATACAGTATTGAACAATATACAAGGAACAAAAAAACCTGTTTTTTATACAGTGATTTTTACACCAGTCACAAAAGTAGAGTATTTCTTGCTTTAAAGCACACTTCTCCTAAGGGCATAAGATCCCTTGCTTTCTGTAAAGATACTGTTGGGTGGAGCTTCCAGTTCCTTGTAAGAGGATATCCATGTAGAGGATTTCCAGACCAGTTTTGACTGTCTTAAGTCTTCCTCAGGTAGAGAAAATATGAAGAGTACAATGAAGTGGATATCAAGTCCTCCAAAATATCAAATCTTTCTCGGGTGGATAAATATGAGGATACAAGAAGTGGATCTAAATGGAATATATACAGGTGGCTAGAACATGTCCCAAAAAGGATAAATATTTCCATGTATTGTCAACATATAAGGCATAAATAATAAAAGAGGCATAGATACTTACATCAGGTTCTCCTAAACAGTGCTTTTTTGCAATTTTGGGAATCCATTGTCTTTTTGTGTAAACCAGGTTTTACCAGTTTACTCTGCATTAATAAACACCTGGTAAGATTTGGACCTTAAGCTCAAACCCCCTCCCGCCGAAATTTTTCAGGTTAAAAAAAAACCTGGTTTACTCAAGAATTTTAACTGGTTAACCAAATCCCCATGCTAAGTCCATGAGACGCAAAAAAATAAGAGTCCCTCCAGAACTGCAAGCACTATCTCAAGCAAATATTGACAATTTATTCACACTGTCATTACTTGCAGCAATAGCCGATGTAGTGAAGCAACCAAGTTGGGGGGGGGGGGGTTGAATGCTCTCATTAAGGAGGCCAGACTTGGTGGAGGTGGTTGACAGGGATGGAGCTGCAGGCTATTGAAGGCTGCTCTGCCCCCTGCTGTGCTCTTTGCTTCAGCGTGAGCTAGGAGGCAGGTTTCAACCCCCCCCCCCCAAATTTTAACACCCCCCCCCCCATTTTTTTCTGGCTACGGCCCTGCCTGTGACATCACTTCCGAAACTCATCACACAATCCCCAGGCCCAATCTACACAGCTGTCTCAGACTTTTGGGCTCCTGGAGGCCAAAGATGCAAGATGGCCCCCTTTCTCCCTCCCCAGCCCCCCATTTGGGCCCCAAAACTTACCAGAGACAGCCTGGCAGCCATGGAGCCTCTGTGCTGGTATGGATGTACCAGGAGCTTCAGCTTCATTTTCTTTCTATTGAGTGTTTACATATATTCCAAGGTTCCATGCATTTTGCAGTAAGGTGGCTTCCCTTGGTTTGCAATTATAGGGCCAATGACCTGTCTATTATTGTTAAGTTTTGGTTCCGCCCCTTTTTCCAGGGCTCTGGGAGGGAAAGGGAACCATTTTTAGTTCAGTCTTATAGTGGAAAGCTTAGCTACAGGACGTGGATCAGCTCCATCTGTAGACAAGCTTCGTTTCTCATAGCATCCGGGGGAAACAGAAGCATCCGGGGGAAACAGCTCCACTTCTTTCGTGGAAAAGATCCAAAAGAACTCCAGCTGGAGAATCTACAAGCCTTGGCTGGTAGATCTACTTGGGTAACCAGAAGCAATTGGAGCCCGGAGTAGAGCCCACACCAGCAAGCATAGAAAGTAGATTGCCTGGGAGGGGTTAAAAATAATGAAAAATAATTGAAAAACAAAAGGTATAGTCAATTCTTGTTAAAACTTATATGGGAGACTGCTAATGAAGACCAAGGACTGTAGTCTATATTTCAGAGAAAGGAACTGACAAAACCTGTCTAAGAAAACCTTGGTCACTATAAGTTGACAGGTGACTTGAAGGCGCACGCAGAGTGCAGCGAGTTATTTAACAGTGTAGAAGATAAAACTAATAAGATCATTGTTACAATAATGGAAAAATCAGTTTCTGTGCCTTTAAGACATCTGTTGAATTATAGTGATCACAATACTACTTTTGAGATAAATTATGGAACTGACTGACTGCCCCTTGGACGATGACTTAAACTGGTGACTGTTGACTCTTGAATGTTTTATACTGTTTTTATACTGTTTTATATTGTTATATTGTATTTAAACTGCATATTTATGGTTTTGGTTGTGGGCACCATGGGGTGCCGTTTTGAGTCCCTCTGCGGAGGTCGAGATAGGATGGTATACAAATGTCCGAAATAAATAATACATAAATAATGTGCTGTACAGACACACAGTGGAAGATGATGGCAAAGATCAGGGACTCTCTTTTCCTAAACTTAATCCATTGATATGTAGAGGACTAGATCAAGGGATATTTTCATCAGTTTCAGAGTTCACAGACTCTCAACCCAATTACAGGGTCTCTAACTAACAGTGGTTTGAGGAGAAGAAAGGAACAATCTTGAGCCTTCTTCAACTACTTAGACCAAAGGTGAATATGGATATAGTAATAAATCAATCCAGATGTCTGGCAATCAATCCCATCTCATGAGATCTTCGCTTTTCACATCAGAATCACTGAGCCCTTTTTTCTATGTTTGTGTTTTCCTCCATGCATTATGACTCAATGATAATGACTCTCTGCCATAATATTACAAGCTGGAGGTTGCCAAAACTCTGACTTGGTCTTGACATTCTACCTTTACAGGGAATTTGCCAAAGAAAGAGAGCGAGTGGAAAATCGTCGGGCTTTCATGAAATTGAGGAGACAGCAGCAGATTGAACGGGAACTGAATGGCTACCGAGCATGGATAGATAAAGCAGGTAAAGGAGGAATGAGCACTGATATCTTTAAAGACAGATCTTATGTGTAGAACTAAAACAATTTTAGAACAATAGGAATCTGTAAAAATGCAAAGAGTTGTCAAAGCCTGAAAGCTAATGCATACATTCATGCCTTTTGTGCCCTAACGTAAGGTGTCATTATAATACACTAGCCGTCCCCTGGCACACGTTGCTGTGGCCCTCATGGGGGGTTCTGTGTGGGAGGTTTGGCCCAATTCTATCATTGGTGGGGTTCAGAAGGCTCTGTGATTGTAGGTGAACTATAAATCCCAGCAACTACAACTCCCAAATGTCAAGATTCTATTTTCCCCAAACTCCACCAGTGTTCACATTTGGGCATATTGAGTATTCGTGTAGAGTTTGGTCCAGATCCATCATTGTTTGAGTCCACAGTGATCTCTGGATGTAGGTGAACTACAACTCCAAAACGAAAGGACACTGCCCACCAAACCCTTCCAGTATTTTCTGTTGGTCATGGGAGAACTGTGTACCAAGTTTGGTTCAATTACATCATTGGTGGGGTTCAGAATGCTCTCTGATTGTAGGTGAATTATAAATCCCAGCAACTACAACTCCCAAATGACACAAAAAAAAAATTTTGAGTGAAGGACATACGTTGGGTTGTTAGGTGTCTTGTGTCCAAATTTGGTGTCAATTCATCCAGTGGTTTTTGAGTTCTTTTAATCCCACAAACGAACATGACATTTTTATTTATATAGATAGTTCACATGCTGTAGGACCCATAATGAAAGCAGCAATACTGAGACAAATTATATTTTGCAAGCATAATTATATACTTACGATAATGTACAATTTATTCCAGGTACTGGTAGCATGTTCCAAGTATAACTTGGTGTTTGAATCAAGGTTCGAAATTCAGAGCTCCATTCTACCAACAATTTGACTCTCCTAAGATAATAAATAAATAAATAAATAAATAAATAAATAATAATATGTTGTCGTGTCAAGAGTGACCTGAGAAACTGCAAGTCGCTTCTGGTTTGAGAGAATTGGCTGTTTGCAAGGACGTTGCCCAGGGGACACCCAGATGATTTGATGTTTTATCATCCTTGTGGGAGGCTTCTTTCATGTCCCCACATGAGGAGCTGGAGCTGATAGAGGTAGCTCATCCGCCTCTCCCCGAATTCATACTGCGACCTGTCGGTCTTCAGTCCTGCCGGCACAGGGGTTTAACCCACGGTGGGGCTCCTAAATAAGAATAATATTAATAAACTTTATTTATACCCCACCACCATCTTCCCAATGGGGATTCGGAGTGGCTTACATGGGGCCAAGCCCGGACAACGTTACAGCAAAATAAAACCAGCGCATAAGCAACAAACAACATCATCAAAATTACATAAAAGAAGAAAAAAATTATAAACACAGTCATAAAATATTCCAATAAGCACAATATAGCTACGTTATAAAACTGGAGCAATATATAATGGTTTCAGCTAATAGACCTGACCCTTTTATGGAACTGTCACAAGTTTGTGAGTTTTATCAATATCTACACTTGGCATGGCTTTTTTTTTTGTCGTGTCAGGAGCAAGTTGCTTCTGGTGTGAGAGAATTGGCCGTTTGCAAGGACGTTGCCCAGGGGACGCCTGGATGATTTGATGTTTTTATCATCCTTGTGGGAGTCTTCTCTCATGTCCCCGCACAAGGAGCTAGAGCTGATAGAGGGAGCTCATCCGCCTCTCCCCGGATTCGAACCTGCGACCTGTCGGTCTTCAGTCCTGCCGGCACAGGGGTTTAACCCACTGCGCCACCAGGGACTCCACTTGACATGGCTACCCTATGCCCATAGCTTCCTTGCCTAAGGATTTGTTCAGACATCTGATTTTTCTTGAGTCTCACGTCACTGCCTCTCTTCCTTCACTTTTCCTGCTTCATAGTTGCCTGATGGTTTTGACCAATTTTGTTCCAACTTTCATCATAAAATTGACCTTTGTCTTTTTCCGAAACCAACTTAGCTGCTCAGAAACTCAAAACTGAAATGCGCATTGCAATTTATGGTGCACTAGATTTGAGTAATATGGGGCCCCCGGTGGCGCAGTGGGTTAAAGCACTGAGCTGCTGAGCTTGTTGATCGAAAGGTCGCAGGTTCGATTCCGGGGAGCGGCGTGAGCTTCCGCTGTCAGCCCTAGCTTCTGCCAACCTAGCAGTTCGAAAACATGCAAATGTGAGTAAATCAATAGGTACCGCTCCGGCGGGAAGGTAACAGCGCTCCATGCAGTCATGCCGGCCACATGACTTTGGAGGTGTCTACGGACAACGCTGGCTCTTCGGCTTAGAAATGGAGATGAGCACCACACCCCAGAGTCAGACATGACTGGACTTAATGTCAGGGGACTACCTTTACCTTTACCTTTAGATTTGAGTAAATACAGGGTATTTTTTCTCTTCGTTGGCACTGTTTGCAATTGTGCTTTCAGTATGTCACTTTTAAGAAACTAGAGAAGAAAAATGGATTCCCCTAACACCGTGGAGACCAAAATCCACTGATTGTGGTAATATGAAAATAACTAATCATGATTTAGTCCTGGTTGGGAAACAAAATTTGTAATAGTAACAACAATAATGGTAGTAAGCCGTAGAATGACCTCGCTTTAATAACCATTTTCTTCATAAAAAAAGAATAATAATAATAATAATAATAATAATAATAAAGAAAATAACTAAATTAACTCAATGTATATATTACTAATACACATATCAAAAAAACAGGACTGCCACATTCACATTAAGTAGAAACAACTGGCTCTTCTCTTGAAGTATAAAACAAAGTCTTCGTGTGAGTAAATGTCCTGTTCTTTATTACATATGAGTAGACTCCAGTAGTCACATGAATTGACTCCAACCTATGACCAGTTTTGACTCACAAGAGCCTTTGTCAGGCGGTTGGGTCTACAAACAACACATATCATGAATACACACATACAATTGAACAATTTGTTATATCAAGTTTGTAAGAATATATACAGACACTCTACTTACTCAAATTATCACAAAAAGCTCAACTTTTGAGGTGAGAAATTCACCAACAGTCTTCTGTAGGGATGGATCCTAAGGGGACATAGATAGTGGCTAAAGGTAATATTACATTGTAACATGAGTTATAAACTATACATGGAGAAATATAATATCTATGAAACAAAAATAATATAATACAGCTAGTCTTTGTTGAGCAATATATAACCCATTGCTATATCAGTAATGGGTTGAGTTATTTTGATCCTATACTCGCCACAGAATAAAACTCCTTGCAGGGTATATTGCTCAACAAATTCCCAAATTCAGTATCCTATTTTGAGTGTTTGCCAGAGCAACAGTTATTTTATCACCCACAACCCAACACATTGTATGAGTAGAAATCCAGTTCAGTTTTACAAAACAAATAATTTGAAATAGTTTTTCTCTGGAGGACAACATGCTGGTTGAGGAAATTCTGGGAAGTTTTTTTTTTTTAAAAAAAAATAAAGTTTCTAAACTCTTCTATTGGGTGGCATCTTTTGTCAAATAGCTGTTTTGATTATTGCATTTTTATTCTCTGCATTGATAATCCTTAATAGAGTTAATGTATTTTTGCTGTTCTTCAAATTTTATTTTGAAAGACTTTAGTAGTGTGAGTTTCCTCTTTGAGTCTTTAAAAATATTTTATTGTTGTTTTTTTTTTTGCAAATTAAAATTAGATAGAAAAAAGAGAAAGAAAAAGAAAAAATGGAAAAGGAAAGAAAAATATAATATGAAGAAAAATATAATAATAATAAAGAAAGAAAAAGGCTTGATTCTTAAGGTTTTATTTCTCTGTTATTAAAAATCTCAGAATGAGACTGAACTCTTGAAGCTTCAAACTCTTGGTCCTGGCAATTCCCAATATGTAAAATAATAAATTGTGTTCTTATAATAGTGCTCCATTTTACTTTATTATCTGCCTTCCTTCTTTTTATAACCCTTCTTTCTCCCACATTCTGTTGAGATCTGTGTCTTTTCTTTAATTAATGTGCTGGAACCTTTTTAGTAAATAGATGACAAAGATATCCCTAAAGTTTTTAATTTTACCCCTTTTGTGTAGAGGAAGTAATGCTGGCCGAAGAGAACAAAAATTCTGGAACGTCAGCTTTAGAAGGTAAGAAAATACGGAAAATTCAATATTATTTTAATGAATTATGTCACACCTGGAGGTTTGGACTTCATTTCCCAAGATTCCTAGCAGTAAGTTAACTTGGCTGGTAGTTAAAGTCTCAGGCCTCATCTATATTGGCATATAATGCAGTTTAACTGCATTGACCTGCGTTATATGAGTCAACACTGCCATATAGTGGAGTTCAATGCAGTTAAACAACGTTACGAAACTGCATTGCATGACAGTGTAAATGGGGCCTCAAAGATCTGTAGGACCAAAGGTATATGCACAGCAACAACAATGCTTTTCCCAGTGCTGTCTTTCCTTTCCATTGTCCCAAATATGAAATTAATATTTGGGACTGTGGAGCAGCTGGCTGGGAGTCAGCTGCATTTGAAATAGCAGGGAGAAGGTTTCAGGAAAAGGAGAGAGATCCTGAGATCTGAAAAGCACAGCTTTTATTTCCAGCTGGGGCCCTGGAGTGGATTTGTGTCCCAAAGCAAACCAGAGCAAATGATAGAGGGGCGGACTGTGGCTTTTATAGATTCCAGGTTCAAGCAAACAAAGAACATGCTTCTACATACATTTACATCATTCACTGCATCATCTTAGCATCAAATTCTACCTTCTAACATGCAAAAAGCATGTCTCTGTGTTTCTAAAGAGCAAGCATCCATCAATCAAGGGGCCCACTTTGACTTGTCAAGAGGCTCCTTACTTAGAAGGAAGACACTGGGCCTTTTGTACCAGCTTCTGTGGCTTATCTCTCTCTTGGAATGTCCCCCTCCCTCTTGGCTGTGCCTGGGACGTAGCTCGCTTGTCCATTCTTTCTACACAGCGAGGGAGAGCCTGATTTTTCTATACATTTCAGTAATTGAAAAATTCATACAATGTATACATAAATCAATAAATATCTATTTTTCCAATATCTCCTCATCACATTAAGATCACTACTGACCCAAAAGGTCATGAGTTCAAAGCCAGCCCAGGTCAGAGTGAGCTTCTGGCCAATTTGTGTAGCTTGTTGACAACCTTTGCAGCCTGAAAGACAGTTGCATCTGTCAAGTAAGAAAATTAGGTACAACTTATGTGGAGAGGCTAATTTAACTAATTTATGAGGCCATACAAAAAAATCTCCAGCAAGCATGCGGGGAATGAGGAAGTACTTCATCAGTGTTGCAGATGGATGGCAAAGCAACAGCTCCCCTGGTGGCCAGAAAAAGTTAGAATGTTAAATAGCCTCTTACTGTCTGTCTATATGTATTGCGTGTCTATGGCAATGAATGTTTGCCAGTATATGTACATTGCAATCCGCCCTGAATCCCCTGCGAGGTGAGAAGGGAGGAATATAAATACTGTAAATAAATAAATAAATAAATAAATAAATAAATAAAATCCCTAGTGTGGAGTTAAGACTTGGAAAGGACCTCCTCTCTGGACTACAGTGAGAGGCAAAAGAGACATTTTGCCATTATTGCAACTGTATTTACACACTGTTCTGTCGCGCGCTGGGCTTGAAATAAATTGCTTTTAAAACAGAACATATAACTTTAGCCCAGCGGGAAGCCAGGGGGCCCGAAGAGAAATTTGTAAGGATTTTCACCATAAACAGTCTCTAGAGGGCTTGTAAAATATAACAGTCTTTTATTGGTGAACAATCAACAGAAACTTCTTTTGTCTTCAAAGGTTTAAACAAATGCTTCCAGGCTCTGTGCAACTGGTGGCTCCTAACTGTTACTTTACTCTAAAGGAAAATCCCTTTCCAAACTTCCCCCAGGCTGACTGTGAACCTAAACCTAACTGATGTGGGCTCCACTACCGGGTTGAACTGTGTCTCAAAGCACCGAGTGGACCTACCAGTAGGCCTGTAGTCACTTGGAGTTCTTAGATATTCAAAGCTGTTTTTCCCTCCGAAATTCCTCAGGGCTTTAGGGCTGTTTCCCTGGGAATCTTTGGGAATCCTTTTACTCTTAAGACTGTTCTCCCCCGGGAAGTCTTAAGGGTTGAAGCCTTTGTACAGGAGAAGTCTGTACACATCCTGTACATTGACTGTCCTCGCTGAGACTGACTGAAAATGGCTCCCTTCCCTTCTCAATTGTCCTGAACAGGGGGCAGAACCAAACTTAACGATGATTGGGCCTGCCCTATAACTGCAAACTGCAGGAAGCCACCCTTCTGCAGAATCCCAAGCCTTGGGCTGCAAGCAAACACTTAATACAAAGCAAATAAAGTGGGAGCTTCTGGTACAGTTGTACCAGCACACACACCCAGTCTTTACTTTCTCCCAAAAGAAATCATGACTTCCAGGAAACACTAATACAGAACAGCATCCATTCAGAATTGATCCTGCTTTCTACCAGCATAGCCCACCTCTTCATTTACATGAGTTCTGTGGTTGATAAGTCTAAAGTACATGGAGTTTATCTCACAAAGCAGGCAAATTACAATTACATCAGGATAACCGAATCTTTGTCTTGAACTTATCACAGGATGTTACTCCATTCCTACCACTTCCTGGCTGGACACAGCCTTGAAAGCATTTCTCGTGTAAAGCTAAATTATCTGTTAACTACCTTCTTTTGTAAAATAAATGCCTTCCTACAGTCTGCCACCACAGGAAAGCAGTCATCAGTCTAAGGCAGGGGTCCTCAAACATTTTAAACAGAGGGCCAGGTCACAGGACCTCAAACTGCTGGAGGTCCAGATTATAATTGGAAAAAAACATGAATTAATTCATATACACTGCAATATCTTATTTGTAGTGCAAAAACACTTTAAAAATACATAATTAAAAATGAAGAACAATTTTAACAAATATAAACTTATTAGTATTTCAATGGGAAATGTGGGTCTGCTTTTGGTAGATGAGATAGGATTGTTGTTGTTGTGTTGAGATTAACTTCACAATTCAGCAGCAGATCAGTTGCACAACTTCAGCGCTTTCCAGTAGCTTCTTCCTGCACAGTATTTTCAGTCAGCTGCTCCCACAGCCTGCAGTCACGCTGGAACCTTTTACAGACACTTGAGCACACGCCTGGCCATTGTTAATTTTACAATTGTCTTTCCCCCAGTCTAGATGATATTACAAACTTACCACAGCATACATTTATATCTTGTCTTAGCAGACAGGTTCTTTTAATTGCATATAGCCTTTGACGAACAACATCACAGCACAAGGAGAAATATACACTGTACATGACTTCCTTATATACAACTCTATACATAGCAATCTCTGATTGGTTCCCAACTCATTAACTTCACTCAGACCCAGGATTACATCATTCACAATCACCTGGACTAGGCCAGAACACATTCCCCAAATGAAGTTCTGTATACAGTTAATGCATGACTCAGCATTTCCAATAGAAGCCCATTAGCAGTGCATGACTCAGCTATATTACATTGCAATACATTGTAAAACCTGACATGTTGTGTGCTTTCAAGTCGTTTCAGACTTAGGTTGACCCTGAGCGAGGGCCAGGTAAATGACCTTGGAAGGCCGTATCCGGCCCCCGGGCCTTAGTTTGAGGATCCCTGGTCTAAGGTTACTACCCTGCTCCTGAAGTAGCTACACTGGCTCCCAGTGTGTTTCCCGGCACAATTCAATTTTATTTATTTATTTATTTATTACGTATACTTCTACCCCGCCCTTCTCAACCCCCAAGGGGGGACTCAGGGCGGCTTACAAAATGGCACAATTCGATGCCTACACAAATACAATAAACGTATAAAAACAGCAGTTAAACGGTTAAACAATTAAAACAATTAAAACAACAACATATATCACAAGGTGCTGGCTTTAGCCTATAAAGCCTGAAATGGTTTGGGCCCAACCTACTTGAAGACCGCAACTCCTCCTACAAGACCACACAACGCCTAAGAACATTAGGAGAGGCCCTTCCCTCAGTCCTACTGCCATCACAAATGTGGTTAGTGGAAACGAGAGAGGGGACCTTTTCAGTGGTAGCCCCATGGCTCTGGAACTCCCTCCTTAGAGAGGTGCAATTGGCTCCCTCCTTGTTGACCTTTTGTTCCCAAATTAAAACTTTCTTGTGGAACCAGGCTTTTCCTGATGATTTATAATTGACAACAGCCAGATAGCGGCTGGTAACATCCACTTCTGAACGCTGTCTCGGAGCTGGCAATGTTGTTACATGGCCAAATGGAAACAATGATTTTAAGATTTTAGTACAACCTATTTTATGGATAACCTCAGTGGCTGAAAGTTCAGGGAACATTTTAATGGTATATGTCATAATTTACTGATTTGTTACATATGGTTTGTGTAGTGTGCTGTTTGTTTCATTTGGTTTTTTGGATTATGATGTTTTTGTCTGAATTTGTATGTTGTGTAATTTCTATTTTTAATCTTTGTACGCCGCTTTGAATTCCACCCATGGGAGAAAAGCGGGAATAAATAAATAAATAAGGTTATGACAATGTTGTTCTGCTGTATCTGTGAATTGCCTACTTCACGTGATGCACTCCTGCATTGAGAAATGCATAGTAGTGCTCACCGTTCTGCCTTTTCCTCTCTCTTTCTAGTTCTCAGGAGAGCAACCATTAAAAGAAACCGAACAGAAGTCATGAATCGTGACTCCAGTGATGAGCGTGTAGATATCTCTTCAGTGGGTAAGACTGAGACAAGATATCAGTGTATATGACCTAATTCTGTTTAAACTGCAGAGGTATTTCTTGGGGGGGGGGGGGGGGGGGGGGGATGTCCTACATGCAAAATACTTTTGAAAAGAGAGATTTCTTCTTTCTTACTTACTTACTACTTAGACAATCCCTCGTTGTCTGAGTAGGATAGTCTTCCAGGATCAGTGTACTGTGGGTGGGTCCGTAGGTGACTGTGGAGCCCTATTCTTGATCTGCATCTTCTCCCGCAATGAGGGCATTGGTTTCCAGGTGGAAGGCGGTCCCGGTCGGGGTTGGCTTGATGCGCCTTCCTCTTGGCACGATTCTCTCTTTCAGCCTCCATTCGTGCCTCTTCAAATTCTACAGCATTGCTGGTCATAGCTGACCTCCAGCTGGAGCATTCAAGGGCCAGGGCTTCCCAGTTCTCAGTGTGTATGCCAGAGTTTTTAAGGTTGGCTTTGAGACCATCTTTAAATCTCTTTTCCTGCCCATCAACATTCCGTTTTCCATTCTTGAGTTCGGAGTAGAGCAACTACTTAGCCGGGGAAAGTTAAATATGTTATCAGTCATCAATTACTGCTATTGTGAATGGTCACTGTGCTTATTTTGCGCTCATTTAAACTTGAATTAAATTGTCACAGTGTATAATTTTTGCATTTCATTGCCATCTAATCCCACCTCTCTACCCTTTTGTATATATGCATGTGGGCTATGTATAACATTTCCTATAGCTGTTGAAGCAGACCGTAATCCACAAAATCTTATGCTGTAATAAATATATCACTCTTCCTAAGTATTGCAAATCTTTTTCTTTTGGTTCTTTTTTTATACAGCTGACTAATGTTGCTAAACTTTGTAGCTTTGTGGTAAGAGGGGATTCAGGCCAGTACAGCTTGCTATGAAATGGTGTGAAATGCTGCATGTTTTGGAATTTTCCCTTCTATGCAACTCTCTAATTAAAAGTGTAGCCAATAGCTACTGTGTTCTCTTTTACCCAGCCATCCTCAAAAAGGTACTAGCATAGGCTTGGTTGGTCTAAAAAAAAAAGGTCGAAAACTCATTTCGGATGTAGTGGTTCGATTCGGAATTGAATTCCAAATTTTTCCAAATTTTTTTTTGTAACTTTCTGAAATTTCCGAATCGCTTCATTAATGGTGGACATGATTACGCAATATGCAAAAAAACAGCAAATTGTACTGGGCAAACTTCAGGGGAGTCTCTCTCCCTGATTTCAAAAGTTAGGGAAATATAGGCATGAAAGTATGGGAGTTCTTCTTAGGCAACTCACAGCAAACAAAGAAAAAAACAAACAGCCCTGAGAGCTTTTGGAGCCTTTTGAGCTTTTTTGGTCGTGTCAGGAGTGACTTGAGAAACTGCAAGTAGCTTCTGGTGTGAGAGAATTGGCCGTCTGCAAGGACGTTGCCCAGGGGACACCTGGATGATTTGATGTTTTTATCATCCTTGTGGGAGGCTTCTCTCATGTCCCCGCACGAGGAGCTGGAGCTGATAGAGGGAGCTCATCCGCCTCTCCCCGGATTCGAACCTGCGACCTGTCGGTCTTCAGTCCTGCCAGCACAGGGGCTTTAACCCACTGTGCCACCGGGGGCTCCTCTTTTGAGCTGATTTCACAGGTTAGAGAAGTATAGGCATGAAAGTATGGGATTTCTAGTGTCTTCTGAGCCAACTCACAGCAAATAAAGGGGGGGGGGGGGCAAGCAGCCCTGAGAGCTTTTGGGGCTTTTGAACTGATTTCACAGGTTAGGAAAGCATAGGCATGAAAGTATGAGATTTCTAGTGTCTTCTTAGGCAACTCACAGCGAACAAAGAAAATAACAAACAGCCCTGCCCTTTTTGCCTTGGAAGCTGATTTCACTACTTTGGGAAGGAGAGTTTGTGTTTTTTTTTCTTTTTTTCCTAGTAAATTTTTGTTAAGCATTGAAAAGAGAAAGAGTATTATTTACATGGAAAGTGGTGGAATAATGTGGTACTAGAAAAGTAGGGAAAAGTAGTCTAAAACAAAAAAAAAATCTGTCCTCAGCCTTACTTGCATGAAAAGTGGTAGAACAATGTGCTTATAGGAAGGTAGGAAACCTAATAGATAGAGAGGGAAAAAAGAATTAAAAAAATAAAAATAAATAAATAAAAAGTATATTGACTTCCATTCCAAACTTTGTTATTTTTATTGTCATTCTTTTATTTAGTCTATTCCCTTAATTTTGTTCAATTGTTACATTCTCTGCTTGCTTTATTGTACTCCTGGAAAAGATCCAGAAAAGAGAGTTTGTGTTCAAAGAGTGGCTTGAATTGATGGGAGATCTAGTTCTTTAGAGGCAATGTGCAACACTAACTAAAAAACATTGAGACGAGCTACAGCATTGGCTTTTAAAAATGTTGGAATGAGTGCTTTGGTTCCTCCGTGTTGTTCCTTCCACCCACACCACTCACCTACACACTACTCTCGTGGTGCCCACCCGACCCAAACCCCAACAGCAACAACACACAAGCAGCAAGGCAGGCTGTCCACTGCCCAGCCAGCCAGGCAGACAGGCAGCCAGGCATAGCTGGCAACAGCCCTTCTCTCAGCCCTTCTTCCTTTCTGCTTGCTTGCCTGCCGTACTCTTCTTCCAACCTCCCTTAAACACAACCTTCCTTCCTTTAGTCTTAGTCTTTGTGTTTCCCTTTCTCCCTTCTCCCTTTCTCACTTCTTCCTTCTCCCTTCCCTTCCTGGCTCCGAATGAGCTTCTGAGCCATGTGCTCCCCTTTATATACAGCAATGGCTGTCAGTGCCAAAACCCCTCCCTTCCCCAAAATCTCTCCCCTGATTGGCTGGGAGGGGAAGCAAGGAGCTCCCCAAACTCCCAGCAGGCTAGAGGGCTGAAAGAATCAGTGGTCCACCCTCTCTTGAAAAAACCAAGCCTAGACGCCGCCGTACCTAGTAACTATCGCCCAGTTTCAAACCTTCCGTTTTTGGGCAAGATGATTGAACGGACAGTGGCGGGGCAGCTACAGCAATTCTTAGATGAGACTGCAGGTTTGGACCCCTTTCAATCAGGCTTTCATTCAGGTCATGGGACAGAGACTGTCTTAGTAGTTATTACTGATGAAATTCGTCATCTGTTAGACCGAGGCGGATCAGCGCTATTGGTACTCTTGGACCTCACAGCTGCAATCCTCACAGTGGACCATGACTTGCTGATTCATCGATTGGCTATGTCTGGTGTACGAGGTTTAGCCCTGAAATGGTTCAATTCGTTCCTCCGGGACCGGAGACAGAGGGTGGAGTGGTTAGGCCAAAGCTCTGAGAGCTCCTGCCTTTGCTGTGGAGTTCCCCAGGGTGCTATCCTCTCGCCCCTGTTATTTAACATCTACGTCCGGCCACTTGCTGGACTGGTGCGGAGCTTTGGCATAGAGTGCTACCAGTATGCAGATGATACCCAGCTACTCTTGCGTCTCGAACCTGGGACAACCGCGATTCCTGAGAACTTTAGGCTGTGTTTGGAAGCAGTGATGAGTTGGCTGCGAGCGAGCAGACTAAAAGTGAATCCTGCAAAAACTGAGATACTTTGGCCCGGCCAGCCGCCAGAATTAATCCAGTCTCCGCCTGATTTCGATGGGGAAGCTCTGGTTCCGTCTTCCACTGTTCAAAGCCTTGAGGTTGTGTTGGACTCATTGGCTGACGATGGAGGCCCAGATCACTGCCACAAGTAAACAGGCCTTTTTTCATCTTCGCCAGACAAGGAAATTGGCATCCTACATTTCGGTAGAAGCATTGGCAACAGTAATCCACGCAACAGTCACCACTAGGTTGGACTATTGCAATGCCTTATATGCCGGCCTTCCGAAGTCAACAACCCAGAAGATTCGGATGGTCCAAAATGTGGCGGCCAGGCTGCTAGCGGGATCATCTATAAGATCCCATATTCACACCGATTCTGCAACAACTGCATTGGCTACCAATAGAACATCGGATCTCTTACAAGATACTGATCCTGACATTTAGAGCTCAAAATGGCCAAGGACCTTTATATCTTGGGGACCGCCTCATTCCTTTTTTCCATCAGTGGTCACCTCGATCCACCCAGGAAAATCTCCTATACATACCGGGCCCTAGGGAGGTACACCTGGAAGCTATAAGGTGTAGAGCTTTTTCGATCTATGCTCCAATTCTGTGGAACTCATTGCCTCCATATGTTAGAGCAATGTCGGAGTTGCAACCTTTTGCAAAAGCGCTCAAGACTTGGCTGTTTGGTTGTGCATTTAAGTAATCAGATCTAATTTGCCAAATAGTCACTGTTGAATGTTTTTATGTTGAATGTTTTTATATTGTGAAATGCTATTTTAAATTGTAAGTCACTCAGAGCACCTTGGTGGAGAGCGACAAATTAAGAAATAAAGTGAAGTGAAGTGAAGTGAAAATACATTGAATCCTTTCCGACTCACTTCCTGAATCATAACAAAAATGGCGGAAAAAGCTTTGGAAGGACAAAGGGACTTCCGGGTTTTTAAAATGCTTCAAATTTGCTTCAAAAAGGTAACTTTAACAAAATTATTACAAGTAATGAGTAATGCGATCCATGCCTATAGCATAGCCTCCTTTTCCTCCAAGCCTTCTGCAGGTAATGGGAACATCTCATCATCACCCTTTGCTAGTGTTGCCAGAAGAACAGGTTGTCATGCAGGAAGGAGCTGCAGAACAAAGGAGTTAATTGCAAACTTGACTGGAATAAGTAATACACACAGTGCATTCTGTTTATTGGACCCAATTAGATGAACACAAATAATAAACAGTCTGGGATTTGTGTGTGTGTCAAAAAGCCTGGCGAAATGTTTTTGAACAATGTGTATTCTTAAACACTTCTTCCTTAGGCAGTATTTGATAGGTGTCTGTAAAAATATGTGTCTGTATTTTCATTCGTGTCTGCAGCATGAATGTACATCAAAACAAAAGGACTCTGCTTACTATGGTTTAGTTCTGGTAAATTAATGCCTTTGATTCAGCAGATTTGTTTTATGTTGATTGCTTAGAACATCTGTACCAGTGGCTTTATGTCTGTTATTATTCACTACTTTGAAGCCTTTGTATCTGTAAACACACATATTGTTCACAAAAACTGAACTTTAAAATGTGGAACAAGGCTAAATATTTTCCTCTTCTTCTTCTTGAATAATAGGCATGGGATGAGAAAGAACTGGTTTCTCAAAATAATATTGTACTGATTTGTGTACATGATTATTTCTCTCACACACATACTCATACACAGGGCAAGCAGCCAATTTGAGTTCTCTCTGTTGCGCAGCAAGCAGATATTAGTCACGTTCCATGCACAAGACACACAGACAAAAGTAGAAATGAACAGAAAAACATCTTTACTGTTAATTCGTTGTTGTTCATTCGTTCAGTCGTTTCCGACTCTTCGTGACCTCATGGACCAGCCCACGCCAGAGCTCCCTGTCGGCCATCACCACCCCCAGCTCCTTCAAGGTCAGTCCAGTCACTTCAAGGATGCCATCCATCCATCTTGCCCTTGGTCGGCCCCTCTTCCTTTTGCCTTCCACTTTCCCCAGCATCATTCCCTTCTCTAGGCTTTCCTGTCTCCTCATGATGTGGCCAAAGTACTTCAACTTTGTCTCTAGTATCCTTCCCTCCAATGAGCAGTCGGGCTTTATTTCCTGGAGGATGGACTGGTTGGATCTTCTCGCAGTCCAAGGCACTCTTAGAACTTTCCTCCAACACCACAGCTCAAAAGCATCGATCTTCCTTCGCTCAGCCTTCCCTAAGGTCCAGCTCTCACATCCGTAGGTTACTACAGGGAATACCATGGCGTTGACTAGGCGGATCTTTGTTGCCAGTGTGATGTCTCTACTCTTTACTATTTTATCGAGATTGGACATTGCTCTCCTCCCAAGAAGTAAGCGACTTCTGATTTCCTGGCCACAGTCTGCATCTGCAGTAATCTTTGCACCTAGAAATACAAAGTCTGTCACGGCCTCCACATTTTCTCCCTCTATTTTCCAGTTGTCAATCATTCTTGTTGCCATAATCTTGGTTTTTTTTATGTTGAGCTGCAACCCGGCTTTTGCGCTTTCTTCTTTCACCTTGATTAGAAGGCTCCTCAGCTCCTCCTCGCTTTACAACTCCAAAATTCAAACTGTTATGTTTAATCATATCATGATCTGATCACCATACTCAATATATCCCATATGCATGGGGGTATTGGGGTAACGATACAAAAGGTTTGCTAGGGTAGACCCTCTTTCAGTCAGACTCAGCCCCAGCCCCCCCTCCCCCCCCGAATCGAAATCCTGGCTATGGGCCTGACCCTATCGGTTGTAGTCCAAGATTGCTGGTTGACCTACATTACCAGCTGCACATAATAATTAGCATCATGAGGTTTTTCTTCAACACACACACACMTGGTCCTACTACATCTTACTGTAGCACTCCCCCCACCTCCCCACACACAGAAAATATGTGCAGAAGAAATTCCAGTTCTTTTTAAAATTATTTTATTGGTATTTTCCACAATGTACATTAGGGAGAGGAGGGAGCAGGGTAAAACTTATTCAAGTTATTGTTAATACTTTAATAGATTTTAGCACTGTGAGAGCCGTTCAGCAGTGGAACTCTCTGCCCCAGAGTGTGGTGGAGGCTCCTTCTTTGGAAGCTTTTAAACAGAGTCTGGATGGCCATCTGTCAGGGGTGAATTGAATGCAATATTCCTGCTTCTTGGCAGGGGGTTGGACTGGATGGCCCATGAGGTCTCTTCCAACTCTTTGATTCTATGATTCTATGATTCTCATGTCTAATGAATCATCACGGAAAGGGAAAATGTTGTGAAGGGCAAGTAAACAAAGCATTTTATAACATTATATTATGTTGCATCCAAGTTTTTAGTCTCTATTATCTTGACATCCTTTATTTAAACTATGGTACTAAAGTTTTTGAAAAGTCAGGGCCCATCCACACAGTCATATAACCCAGAATATCAAGGCAGAAAACCCCACAAAATCTGCTTTGAACTGGGTTATCTAAGTCCACGCTGCCATATATTCCAGTTCAAAGCAGATCATGTGGGATTTTATTCAGCTGTGTGGAAGGAGCTTCAATGTTTCTTCTGTATAAAGGAGGTAGCTTGTTGTTCTTTAAATTTACTGTTCATCTCTTCTTTTAATAAGTCTCTATATCTTCTTCCTTTCTTTTTTCTTTCTTTCGTTCATCTTCTTAGACATTCTTCTTAGGGCCCTTCCACACAGCCATATAACGCAGAATATCAAGGCAGAACATCCCACAATATCTGCTTTGAACTGGGTTATTTGAGTCCACACTGCCATATATTCCAGTTCAAAGCACATAATGTGGGATTTTATTCAGCTGTGTGCAAGGGGCCTTAGTTTTACCTGTTGTGTTACTTCTTTTTGTTACCAAACCAGTCTTAGAAAAATGTTTTCTAAATTTCTTTGTTAGTACATTCGTGTTATACATACTTAATCAACCTTCACAGAAGCATACGAGAAGCTCGGCCTGTCACTGAACACCGAGAAAACCAAAGTGCTCCTCCAGCAGTCACCAGCCAATCCCTCTCCAATGCGAGAGATATAGCTTAATGGTGTAACATTAGAAAATGTTGATCATTTCCGCTACCTTGGCAGCCACCTCTCCACCAAAGTCAGCATTGACACCGAAATACAACACCGCCTGAGCTTTGCGAGTGCAGCCTTTTTCCGAATGAAGCAGAGAGTGTTTGAGGACTGGGACATCCGTAGGGATACCAAGGTGCTTGTTTATAAAGCTATTGTCCTTCCAACCCTGCTATATGCCTGCGAAATGTGGACTGTCTACAGACATCACATACAACTCCTGGAACAATTCCATCAGCGCTGCCTCCGGAAAATCCTGCAAGTCTCTTGGGAAGGCAGGCGGACAAACGTCAGTGTGCTGGAAGAAGCAAAGACCATCAGCATTGAAGTGATGGTCCTCCGCCATCAACTCCGCTGGACCGGCCACGTTGTCCGGATGCCCGACCACCATCTCCCAAAGCAGTTGCTCTACTCTGAACTCAAGAATGGAAAACGGAATGTTGGTGGGCAGGAAAAGAGATTTAAATATGGGCTCAAAGCCAACCTTAAAAACTCTGGCATAGACACTGAGAACTGGGAAGCCCTGGCCCTTGACCGCTCCAGCTGGAGGTCAGCTGTGACCAGCAGTGCTGCAGAATTTGAAGAGGCACGAATGGAGGGTGAAAGAGAGAAACGTGCCAAGAGGAAGGCGTGTCAAGCCAATCCCAACCGGGACCGCCTTTCACCTGGAAACCAATGCCCTCACTGTGGGAGACAATACAGATCAAGAATAGGGCTCCACAGTCACCTACGGACCCACCAGAATACTGATCCTGGAACACTATCCTACTCGGCTAACAAGGGATCGCCTAAGTAAGTAAAGTTAGTAAAAGTAATCAACCAAATAGCTACTATCTACTATATATCTTTATCCTTCCACTACATAGTTTCTCTTCTATGCGGGATTTGAGCACATTAACTACCTTAACCACATATTTAACATATATGTGTATCAATTTTCATCAGGTTTAAGATAATCTGTTAACACACACATCTGTTTTCAAATTTTTAGTCACCAAGTTTAACAAGGGGCTCTTCTTTATTAATCCAGTTCTTTATGTTGCTCAAGGTCTCCATGATATAGTGGTTTTCCCTTATATTTATAAACATTTGAATAGGAGAAATTTGGCTTGTACATTTTGCCATTTCTAGAACACCCATGCTTACTTATTTTTCCCGATCCCCCTATAGGTACCCCACTTGCCCGAGCCAGCATCAAGAGTGCTAAATTGGATGGAGCGTCTTACTTCCGACATAAGGAACGTCTCCTGCGCATCTCTGTCCGTCACATGGTGAAATCCCAGGTGTTCTACTGGCTCGTCTTGAGTATAGTGGCTCTCAACACTGCCTGTGTGGCCATTGTCCATCACGACCAACCTCCATGGCTCACACATCTCCTCTGTAAGTAGTGGGGTTCTGTGTTGTTTATGTGTTACACTTGCAGAACTATCAGAGAACAGAACAACAAGTCCTGGCCTGGAGCCAACTACATGTGTAAGCAGAGACGTGCTTCTTCCAGGAAACACAGGCATATGGCTTGGTTTTTTCACTTCCAGGAAAGGGCGGTGATAATTCCCTATCATTCTTGCACTAATTGTAGAGCCTGAGCTCATTTTTGATCTCAGAGGTTCTGATCAGAATTATATAGGCGTTCACTGCAGTGGAGAGCCTAAATACCCAAAAAGTAACACATCCTATCTGATCTTGGAAGCTAAGCAGGTTCAGCCTTGATTACTACTTGAATGGAAGGCTGCCAGTAAATACTACATGCTGTAGATTATATTTCAGAGGAGGGAACTGGCAAAACCCCTTCTGAATATTCCTTGCCTAACAAAGCCCTGTGAAATTCATGCGGACACTATACGTCAACAGGTGACACATATGCACATAAACTCCAGTGAAGCTGTATTGCTCAGAAATAGCATGAGACCAGAGACAAGTTCCTTTGCAATCTCCCTCTTTAATACTACTGTATATGTGAAGTCAAGCATGCCCCCCCACAATAAGGGATGGTAACTTATAGTTCTGCAAAGGGCAAGGGTACCAGACTGCACAAAGGGGTTAAGTCTTGGTCAATTTGCCAAGACACTAACAACAACAAGGACCCCATGAGGCTTTCAGGGAAGAGCCTGGCCTTGGGGTCCCAGTCCTTGGAAGGAGTTGTACTTTCCCAAGGACAAGCTCGATCTTGGCGCTGCAGGAATCAATTTCTTGGCTCAGTGGAAATCACCAAGCTCACTTTGTGACTGTTGGACTTTCTTTAAAACCTTTTTGACTCTAATGAACTCATTTTTACTAGGGCTGGGCGGTTTCGTTCGTTAATTTCGTAATTCATTATTAATTTGTTATTTTTTTGATAACGAAGCAATATTGAACCATTCAGGAGCAACTAAAAAATGAAACGAATTTTTTCGTAATTGTTTCGTTATTGTTTCGTTATTATTTCCGTATGTCTGGTGCAAGTTTTATAGTCATTGTTTGTTTTATCAGTGATAAAAAAAAATTATCACACCAACAGTCAACAACAGAGGGAGAGGGAAGCTTCAGAAGTTCCCCCTGTCCCATTTGGAGGTTTTTTAGTGTATTGCGCAATCGCGTCCGCCATTAACAAATCAATTCGTTATTGTTTCGAAATTGTTTCGTAATTTCCGAAATTTCGTAAATATCGAACTTTTTAAAAGAAAAATTCGGAATTCTTTTAAATAACGAAACGCAAAAAACCCCCTAAAAACGAATCGAGTTTAGAAACAATTTTTTCCGTGGTTGGACAGCCCTAATTTTTACATATGAATTTCCTCCGCATGAACCATGGACACATGTTTTATTAAAAATTATTATTTTAATCAATTTCTCTGGCGGGTGGGGGGGGGAGCGGTGCTTGATATGAATTTCTTGTGATTCCTATATTTCCCCATGTATTTTTCCCTCATCTTTGCCCTGGCCCCAAACCCACTGCCCCCTTCCCCTCCCTTTGGGGAAACTCATCAAGGAAGCTGCCAGCTGTGTTGAAAGTGCAATCAGCAGTCACAAAAAAAAAACCCCCTTATCTTGATATTCATGCATGGAACTATAAACTTGAGGGTCTTTTGGTTGGTCTCGGAGTTGGGCTGCCAAACAAAGGACCTCACCTGGCATCTTTGATCACATCACCCTGGGGGGCGGAAGACCCTCGAAAAGTCTTTTCCCCTGAAACTGTTTTTCCTTTCAAAACTTGCCACAACAAATATTCACCCCAGCTTCTTCATTGTGTCATATCTGATGGCGACAGGAAAACCCAGATAAAGCAATCAACGCTTATCACAGATCCATCAAAAGACAATAGACTGGGCATCCTTTGCAGGCCAGAGTCTCGGACTCAGGACCCCCAAGGCATGAATTCCATTAATCCATTCACAAACCCATTGTTTCTTCTTCGTCCTGCCTCCCCTCTCTTGAATCGCTAATAAAACACCTCAGTGCCGCTTCTTCAACTTTGGTGAGATTTATTTGGAATTTTTAAAGAAATAAAAGTTGCTGAAATCAGGCTTCTCCTAGCTTGCCAAAGTAGCGATCCCTCTTTGGTGGGGTCTCAGGGTCCCTCCTCTTGGGGAAGACCCTCCTAAAGTTCCTATCGACTTCATATGTGGTGATGAATGTGAAAAGCCATCTCCTCTTTTCAGTGATTTTTGTCTTGTGGGATCCCACATACTTCAATACTGCCTCTCATATTATTGGGGGACTCCTGTTCAACCCCACAACCATTGTCTTGTGGGGTTCCTCAGGGCTCTATATTGTCTCCCATGTTGTTTAACATTTACATGAAGCCGCTGGGGGAGATCATACAGAGTTTTGGGGTGCGGTGTCACCTGTACGCAGATGACATCCAACTCTGTCACTCCTTCCCAGCCTAAGGAGGCTGTCCCGGTCCTGAACCAGTGTTTGACCACTGTGACAATCTGGATGAGGGCTAACAAATTGAAATTGAATCCAGACAATACAAAGGTACTCCTGGTCAGTCGCAAGGCTGAACAGGGCATAGGGTTACAGCCTATGTTGGACGGGGTTACACTCCACCTGAAGACGCAGGTTGGGTGTGATCCTGGATTCATCGCTGAGCCTGGAATCCCAGGTCTCAGTGGTGACCATGAGCATTTGCACAATTAAAACTTGTGAACCAGCTGCACCCGTACCTTGGGAAGTCTGACTTGACCACGGTGGTCCACGCTCTGGTTACATCCTGTATAGACTACTGCAACACGCTCTACGTGGTGTTGCCTTTGAAAACTGCTCGGAAGCTTCAAATGGTCCAACGTGTGGCAGCCAGGTTACTAACGGGAGCTGCGCTCAGGGAGCATACAACTCCACTGGCTGCCAGTTTGCTACTGGGCACAATTCAAAGTGGTGGCTTTAGCTTATAAAGCCCTAAACGGTTTCGGCCCAGCTTACCTGTCCAAATGCATCCCACCCTATGAGCCTTCTAGGAAGTTAAGATCATCTGAGGAGGCCCTGCTATCGCTCCCGCCTACCTCACAGACGCGTCTGGCAGGGATGAGAGACAGGGCCTTCTCTGTGGTGGACCCTCGGCTGTGGAACTCCTTGCCTAGAGACATTAGATCGGCCCCCTCCCTCCTGACCTTTCGAAAAAGAGTGAAAACCTGGCTCTTTGAGCAAGCGTTTGGAACTCCAGCATGACCAAATAAAGTGAAATGTGAACAAGTAATGGCTAAGACGATGTAAACGGATGCGGAATTGAATTGGAAGACATAGTTTTACAGTGTTTATTGTTCTATTGTTATATGGTTTTATATATATTATGATTTGTTTTTATTACTTTTACCCGATGTATGTATTCATTTATGGCATCGAATTGTTGCCAATCTGTACGCTGCCCTGAGTRGCCTTKAGGCTGAAATGGGTGGGATAAAAGTAACGTAAATAAATAATAAATAATAAATTAAACATAAATGTATTCACATTGATTCCCCCCCCCCCCCCCCCCAAAATCCCCATTTGTCATTTACTGGTTACCACTTTTTTGTGCCATTTTAATTCTTRACTTTTAGCAGCTACTAGCTGTATTTACTTTAATTTGAACCATTAACATGTTGATTATATCATCCTTCTTCCATGAGATGGCATCATGGATGACTGTAAACAAAACCATGAGAGCCAAAAATGTATGTGAAAAGGAAGCAGCAGTGGGTAGCATGAATCGGGCTTAACAGCAATGTGAATAATATCCAGCTGAGTGAGTGTTTTTTTGGCAGCATGGAGCATAATCATTTCTCAGATAATGCCCAAATTAGTGAATATTCAGCAGTATTCCACTTAATGATTAAGATAAAACTCCAGGGACTCTTGATTAATGAAGAAACCTTAGACTTGGGCTGTATCAATATGATATATATATATATATATATATATATATATATATATATATATATATATGCCCATTTCACTGTATGTACATCTCATATGCAGGATCTTCTGTGAAGCGTTTCGTTTAAGCAATCCTTGTTTAAACAAAAATAAGGATCTGAGGATCACCTGCGAAAGAATCCCACTGGAGCATTGCAACACACCCAAATACCTGGGAGTCACTCTGGACCATGCTCTTACTTACAAGAAGCACTGCCTGAACATCAACCAAAAAGTGGGTGCTAGAAACAATATCATACACAAGCTGACTGGCACAACCTGGGGATCACAACCAGACACAGTGAAGACATCTGCCCTTGCACTATGCTACTCTGCTGCTGAGTTTGCATGCCTAGTGTGGAACACATCTCGCCACGCTAAAACAGTAGATGTGGCTCTTAATGAGACATGCCGCATTATCACGGGGTGTCTGCGCCCTACACCACTGGAGAAATTACACTACTTATCCGGTATTGCACCACCTGACATCTGCCGGGAAGTAGCAACGAATAGTGAAAGGACCAAGGCAGAGACATCTCCAGCTCATCCCCTGTCAATGACTTAAATCTAGAAATAGTTTTCTAAGATCTACAGAGACACTCAGCAAGCGAGAGTCCAAAAGTGGCAGGCTCAAACCCAGAACCTCAACCAATGGCTGATACCAAATGAGAGACTCCCCCCTGGGCACACAGAAAACTGGGCGACTTGGAAGGCGCTGAACAGACTGAGCTCTGGCACCACGAGATGCAGAGCCAACCTTCAGAAATGGGGCTACAAAGTAGAATCCTCGACATGCGAGTGTGGAGAAGAGCAAACCACTGACCAACTGCTGCAATGCAACCTGAGCCCTACCACATGCACAATGGAGGACCTTCTTGCAGCAACATCAGAAGCACTCCAAGTGGCCAGCTACTGGTCAAAGCTACCAAACTTGCACATTTTGTATTTTGTCTGTTTGTTTGTTTTGTTCTGTTAGAAATGTAATACAATTGACTGGTTGCCCTGATGCAACAAATAAAAAGGAGATAATGCTTCTGGAACATGGCCAAACAGCCTGGAAAACTCACAGCAACCCAGTGATTCCGGCCATGAAAGCCTTCGACAGCACACTACTACAAAGTTTTAATTCCAATCATGGGTGCATGAAAACTGAGACGGGTGCCTAATACTATTGAATGTCTTTCTTTCAGACTATGCAGAATTTATTTTTCTGGGGCTCTTCCTCCTAGAGATGTCCTTGAAGATGTATGGAATGGGGCCACGTCTTTACTTCCATTCTTCCTTCAACTGCTTTGACTGTGGGGTAAGCGGTACCCAGACAAGCTGCACAACACAAGGAAGGGAATAAACACTAGAAGAGACCATTGGTGTGAACAGAAGTAGCAGTGTATCATGGAAGGGAAATTTACTGTGTACTTTAACATACACTGATCATGGATATTTATTTTTGGAAGAGAGAGGGTGGCAGAAGACAGTTCCATCTTGTCTCCTGCTTATATCATCAGTTGGGAGCCCCCCCCCCCCCAGCACCAACTGCTGCTCTGTCCAGTGTGAAGAGAGAGGGGGCAGAAGACAGTTCCATCTTGTCTCCTGTGCTTTACTAATAATATAATGTAACATTTATAATATTACTAGCCGTCCCCTGCCACGCGTTGCTGTGGCCCACATGGGGGTTCTGTGTGGGAGGTTTGGGCCAGTTCTATCGTTGGTGGGGTTCAGAATGCTCTGTGATTGTAGGTGAACTACAAATCCCAGCAACTACAACTCCCAAATGTCAAGATTCTATTTTCCCCAAACTCCACCAGTGTTCACATTTGGGCATATTGAGTGCTTGTGCCAAGTTTGGTCCAGATCCATCATTGTTTGAGTCCACAGTGATCTCTGGATGTAGGTGAACTACAACTCCCAAACTCAAGGTTTACCACAAATGAACATTACATTTTTATTTATATAGATAATGTAATACAATATAATACTACTAATAATACAATATTATAATTATATTTTTATATTACATGTAATCTATATAAATAAAAATGTAATGTTCGTTTGTGCGATTAACAGAACTCAAAAACCACCGGACGAATTGACACCAAATTTGGACAGAATATGCCTAACAACCCAAGGAGTGATCATCACTCCAAAAAAATGATTTTGCTATTTGAGAGTTGTAGTTGCTGGGATTTATAGTTCATCTACTATCAAAGAGCATTTTGAACTCAAGCAATGATGGAATAGAACCAAACTTGGCATACAGGACTCCCATGACCAACAGAAAACACATGAAGGGTTTGGTGGGCAAACCTTGAGTTTGGGAGTTGTAGTTCACCTACATCCAGAGAACACTGTGGACTCAAACAATGATGGATCTGGACCAAACTTGGCACGAATATTCCATATGCCCAAATATGAACACAGATGGAGTTTGGGGGAAATAAAATTTGACCTTTGGAAGTTATAGGCATTGACCTTGAGTTTGGGAGTTGTAGTTCACCTACAACCAGAGAGCACTGTGGACTCAAACAATGATGGATCTGGACCAAACTTGGCACAAATATTCCATATGCCCAAATATGAACACAGATGGAGTTTGGGGGAAATAGAAATAGACCTTTGGGAGTTATAGTTACTGGGATTTATAGTTCATCTACAATCAAAGAGCATTCTGAACCCCACCAAAGACAGAAGTGGGGCAAACTTCCCACACAGAACCCACATGACCAACAGAAAATTCTTAAGGCCATCCAATCCAATTCCCTTCTCCAGGGGAGGAAAATGTAATCAAAGCCCTCCTGACAAAGAGCCATCCAGCGATAGATGTAGATAGATAGATATGATTCACACACAGAGAGATATAGTATCATAGGTTTGAAAGACAATTATATGTTGCATGCTCCAGATTAGGCCAACCAGACAATCTCTACATCACCACAAGCATAAAGAAATTACATATATTAGAAACCATCACTTTCTCATTACTTTATTTTCCAGATCACCAGACTGGGCCACAGCAACGTGTGGCAGGGGATGGCTAGTATTACTAATAATATTACAATGTAATGGTATAGTACAATATAGTAATATATGATACTGATATCGTACTATGCTAATAATTTAATATATTGTATGTACATATATCTTGTAAACTGCTCTGAGTCCCCTTTGGGGTGAGAAGGGCAGCATATAAATGTAATTAATCTATATATATATATAAATGATCTGTGCGTAATGAGTACCTTAAAAACAAAAAACTACTGGACCAAATGACCCCAAATTTGGCAACAAAACTCCTCACAATCCAAGGAGTGACCATCACTGGAAAAAAAACCCCACAAAACACCTTTAAATTCAAAATATTACTATATTAAATACTCATAGAATAGAGTTAGAAGGGACTCTACCACAGTATTGCGGGAGAACAGACTGGAAAGAATGACAGAAGAAAGGAGGGAGGGAAAAAGGGAAGGAATGTATGAGGGAAAGGGGGGAGGAAGGAAAGAGAGAAGGAGGGAGGGAAAGAAGAAAGGAGGGAAGGAAAGAGGAAAGGAAAGAAGGAAGGAAGGAAAGAAAGAGGTAGAAGGAAGAAGAAAGAAAGTAGAAAGGAAAGAAAAAGGGAGGGAAATGCAGGAAAGAGGTAAAGAAGGAAGGAAGGAGAAAAGGAAATAAAAAGTGAAAGAAGGAAGGAAACAGGGAGGGAAGAAAGGAGACAAAGGAAGAAGTAGAGAAAGGGGGAGAAAAGGAAGAAAAGAGAAGGAAGGATGAAACCAAAGAGCGAAAGAAGGAATGAAAAAAAGAGGTAGAGAAGGACGAAAGGAGAGAAAGGGGAAGATAAAGGGGGGAAGGAATAGGTAGGTACCTCTCTTTCATAATAGTCCAGATATCTACCTCTACTTTGAAAATTCTTACTATAGGCCACAGCAACGTGTGGCAGGGCACAGCAAGTATTACAATATAATGGTATAGTACAATATAGTAATATATGATACTGATATCTTACTATGCTAATAATATAATATATTATATGTATATATATCTTGTAAACTGCCCTGAGTCCCCTTCGCGGTGAGAAGGGCGGCGTATACATGGCGTAAATAAATAAATAAATAATAATAAATACATAAATCTTCACACTCAGTTTTTGAACACTTGTAAAGATGTTTCTTTACAAGTATCTTGTAAAGATACTAGAGACAAAGTTGAAGTACTCAGTTTTTGAACACTTGTAAAGATGTTTCTTTACAAGTATCTTGTAAAGATACTAGAGACAAAGTTGAAGTACTTTGGCCACATCATGAGGAGACAGGAAAGCCTAGAGAAGACAATTATGCTGGGGAAAGTGGAAGGCAAAAGGAAGAGGGGCCGACCAAGGGCAAGATGGATGGATGGCATCCTTGAAGTGACTGGACTGACCTTGAGGGAGCTGGGGGTGGTAACGGCCGACAGGGAGCTCTGGCGTGGGCTGGTCCATGAGGTCACGAAGAGTCGGAGACGACTGAACGAATGAACAACAACAAAGATGTTTCTGGAAGAGGCTAGGAGAATAAGGAAAGTGGTATAAATGTTTACAGAAACAAAATCTGTACCTAGTTGCTTGAGTTATGTATATTAATTTGTTCATATGAATGTCTGTGTGTGTATAGGAGAGAGCTCGAAAGAGAGAGGGGAGAACACATAAATATGTGGAGTATCTCTTAAGCTGTAGGTCTAGCTATATGGCAGCTTACCTTTCCAGTAATGGGTAATTTTGTTACTTATTTGGTTTCCTTCTTTTTGCATTTGATCTCTCAGGTCACAGTGGGGAGCATCTTTGAAGTGGTTTGGGCCATCTTCAGACCTGGCACTTCTTTTGGGATTAGTGTAATGCGAGCCTTGAGACTTCTGAGGATTTTCAAAGTAACAAAGTGAGTAGAACAAAGGAATGAATTTCCCTGTTTCCTTCAGTGATCCTGAACAAGATTAATTCTTGAAACTTTTTGCTGTAGCTTAGTTCACCCTGTTCCATTGGCCATGTTGCTTGTCTTTCCCCTTTATAGTCATTCACATTTGTTAATTAAATTCCACACATACACACACACACAAGATAAAAGAGGCGGTGGTCTCTCCCCTGCTGAAGAAACCAGACTTAGATTCTTCGGTTCCCTCCAGTTACCGCCCAGTTTCGAATCTCTTGTTCGTGGGCAAGGTGATAGAGAGGGCAGCAGCGGAGCAGTTGCAGCAATTCTTAGACGACACAGCCGGACTAGATCCCTTCCAGTCTGACTTCTATGCGGGGCACGGGACAGAGACTGTGCTGGTCTCCATCACGGATCACCTTCGATGCCAGCTTGACCAGAGCGGGTCGGCGCTGCTTGTGTTATTGGATCTCACAACAGCATTTGACACAGTCGACCACAATCTTTTGATCCATCGCCTTGCTGCTGTTGGAGTCAGGGGGACAGCTTTAAATTGGCTGTCCTCCTTTCTTCACAACCGTGGATAGCGAGTGGAGAGGGGAGGCCTGGTCTCTGAGAGGTCCCCTCTATCTTGTGGGGTTCCTCAGGGGGCCATTCTCTCCCCTCTGTTGTTTAACATCTATATGCGACCACTTGCTCAGCTGGTTCGAGGTTTTGGGCTTGAGTGTTATCAGTATGCCGATGACACTCAGCTGGTGCTGAAGATGGAAGGCCGACCGGACTCTGTACCCGATTGTTTCCATCAGTGCCTCGAGGCCGTTACTGGATGGCTGCGTGCCAGCAGGTTGAGGGTGAATCCAGCAAAGACGGAGATCCTATGGCTGGGTCAACCGGGCAGTGGGGACATCCAGCTGCCTACCCTGGATGGCGAGGCGCTACGCTCGCCATCATTGGTAAAGAGTCTGGGAGTCCTTTTGGACCCTCTGCTGACGATGGAGGCCCAGGTCTCCACCGTTAGCAGAACTGCCTTTTTCATCTGCGGCAGGCTAGACGGCTGGCCCCCTACCTGTCCAGGGACGACCTAGCTACGGTGATCCAGGCCACGGTCATCTCAAGACTGGACTACTGTAACGCCCTCTACATTGGCCTTCCTCTGTCGGTGATCCGGAAGCTCAAGTTGGTACAAAATGCAGCTGCTCGGCTTCTTGCGGGAATTCCGATGAGATGCCACATAACACCAATCTTACTACAGCTGCATTGGTTACCAATTGGCACCGGATCACTTTCAAAGTGATGGTACTCACCTTTAAGGCCTTGCATGGTCTGGGGCCGATGTACCTGAGGGACCGCCTCACCCCCTACCAACCCCAGAGATCCCTCCATTCTGAGGACCAAGATTTGTTGGAAATTCCCAATGTCAAGACCTTGTCTAACAGCAACCAGACGCAGAGCCTTTACAGCAGTGGCACCATCACTCTGGAATACTCTGCCACCTGAAGTCGTGCCTTGCGGGACTTGTCAGCTTTCCGCAGGGCATGTAAGACGTATCTGTTTCAAAAGGGCTTTGACTTTTAATATCGCTGTTTTTAAATTGTTTTTAAATTGTGTTAGATTTTAGCCTGTTCTTGTAAGCCACTCCGAGCCCCAGGGGAGTGGTGGCATATAAGTTCGAATAATAAATAAATAAATAAACAAATACACCCCCTTCTATGCTGCACCCATGCACCTCTGAATTTTGGCCACCGAAAGCTATCTGAAATGAAACAGTCTTCCAGTGCTTTTGGAAGCATGCTATAGTAACATCTGGATTTTCCAGGTATTGGGCTTCCTTGAGGAATTTGGTGGTCTCACTGATGAGTTCTATGAAGTCTATTATCAGCCTCCTCTTCCTCCTTTTCCTCTTCATTGTAGTCTTTGCCCTGCTTGGGATGCAGCTGTTTGGTGGAAGGTAAGTGGATCACTAGACAAAGATGGCATGCTTCTTTGAAATGCCTGTGCTAACGTGGGTTGTTCAGGCAGTCCCCAAGTTATGAGTAAGATAGCGTCTGTAGGTTTGTTCTTAAGTTGAATTTGTATGTAGGTCAGAACAGGTACATTTTGTAACCAGCCTTTCTGTCCCTGTGATAATTGGATTTTGAAAAAAATGGCTTGTTGTGGAAACAAGGATTGGTGATAAAACTTCAACCGAGATGTGCAATACAATTTCAGGAAATATTAGAGGATGAAAGAGTGGGAGATCTGCTGTTTGATTTACAAAAGGTTTCTCCAAATGTGTAATTTTTACTTTCTTTCACTCTCAGATTTAATTTTATGATAACTCTTTTGGGAGTGAATTTCCCTTCCTAGGGGTAGATTTCTCTCACTTCCTGTTGTCTCATCCCTCTTCTTAACTGTGAGTCATTTGTACATCAGTTGTTTGTAACTTGGAGGTGGCCTATAAAGTATTAGTTTTGTCAGGTGCTCTTAAGCAATGGTGAGCAATTCTTTGCTGTTTTCCTCCAGTTTATGATGGCTTGATCATGCTGATTTCTGGAAGTTAAAAACGGAGCTGCATATATTTCCTATATCTTCAGGTGTACTGTACCAGCATTAAGTTTCACTGCCTTCTGCAAAAATTTTCAGTTTTCCTTTTGAAAGACTGAGAGCCTTTGCTCTTATTGAGATAATTTTAGAAAGGTATGCACTGTTAGGAGCCCTCGGTGGCGCAGTAGGTTAAAGCGCTGAGCTGCTGGGCTTGTTGACCAAAAGGTAGCAGGTTCAATTCTGGGGAGCGGCATGAGCTTCCGCTGTCAGCCCCAGCTTCTGCCAACCTAGCAGTTCAATAGCATGCAAATGTGAGTAGATCAATAGGTACCGCTCCGGCGGGAAGGTAGTGGCGCTCCATACAGTTATGCCGGCCACATGATCTTGGAGGTGTCTACGGACAACGCCGGCTCTTCGGCTTAGAAATTGAGATGAGCACCTCACCCCAGAGTCAGACATGACTGGACTTAATGTCAGGGGACAACCTTTACCTTTACTATGCTGTGCTGTCGCACGCTGGGCCTGTGCATAAAACTGTGGACAGGACATAAAATTCTGTGTGCCCAACGGGATGCCGGGGCTGCCTCAGATTAAAGGCCTTTGGATTTCTTTAAAACAGAGTCTTTAGATTGTTTAAAGGTTCAACAAAGTTCTTTATTATTGAAAACAAACAGGTACTTTAAGGCTTTCTTAACAGTCTATTGGCTCTCTCTCAATCTTGTCCACAGGGAACAGGCACTATCTTCATAACTGTAACTAATGGGGAAATCCTTAACTTCTAATCTGGGCAGTCTGTCTTTGCCTCTGTTGGCGTTGAGCCCCTGCATCTGGTACCAACTGCTTCTGGCTTCCGCGAGTGACCCTTACCAAGCAGAGCTTTGTAGACTTCCAGGGGAAAAAGAACTCAGGTTTCCATGATGGCTGACTGAAGTCCTTCAGCAAAGGAACTGTAGGGCTGTATAACCCCGGCCAAGCTGTGGGCTGTATATCTCCCCGGCCAAGCTGTAAAAGATGAAGCTTTCTACAGGAGCTTTTGGTTTTATGTCCTGTACGCAAGGCTTCTCTGTGTGGACTGGACCCAAACTGGCTCCTATTCCCTCCAAAACCCAAAAAGGGGGCAGGACCAGGGAACCTAACTATAATTGACAGGTGGCCTGCCCTATGACTGCAGCCAAAAGAAGCCACCTATCTGCAGAGTCCCTGAAACTTAGGACTATAACAAACATTAAATGCAAAGCAAACAAAATTGGAGCTCCTGGTACAGTTGTACCTGCACATATGCACTGTTATCAGAACTCATGAAGTGATGATAGAGCTGCATGGTTCTGCTAGTGATAGGGAGACAGAGTTTAATAACTTATGCAGAACTCTATTCCTGCCTCTGTCTATTGGTCCAGTCATGTTGGCCTTTTCATTTCTGTTTTATCCCATCTTTCAATTTTCTTCTGACACCTTATTCTATGAGGGGCTGCTGATAAGTCTTTGGCTTTGTCATCTTTTTTTTGTTTCTATGGTAACAAATGTTACATTACATGAAAGCCTTACATGTCTCATATGTTTACAAAATTTTGTGTTTGTAGCTTATGGCAACAGTGATCTAGGCACGCGGGAAAACAAAATGGCGGAGTCTAAGGTGATATTCACAGCAAATGAGAGCAGAGGAGTGATAAAATTCTTGTTTCTGCAAGGAAAGTCCGTGAAGGATATTCATGGTGATATGTCGCAGCATTGGGGGATCAATGCCCTTAATATTCTTCAGTTAAGAACTAGGTTGCCAAATTTAAAATGGGCCACTTCAGCACCAATGATAAGGAACGTCCTGGACGACCGAGGGTGGTTGTTGTTCCAGAGATTGTCAATGCTGTGCACAACCTCATACTGCAAAATCTGCGAATTTCAGCTAAAGGAATAGCAGACATCATGGAGATTTCTAGTTAACATATTTGCGTCATTATCGAACATGAAGAAGCTATCTGCAAAGTGGGTCCTCAAATGTTTGACAACGAATCAGAAAAGCATGCGAGTGAAAACTTCCTGGTTCATTTGTCAGTGTTTCCGGACTGATAAGAACCTTCTAGACTGACTGATCACTATGGACGAGACCTGGATTTATTTGTATGACCCTGAAATGAAGGAGTAGTCAAAAGAGTGGAGGCACAGTGGTTCTCCTCATCCAAAGAAGTTCAGGGTGCAAAAATCAGCCACTAAGTGGTGTTCTGGGATAAGGGGGGCGTGCTGCTAGTGGACTACCTTCAAAATGGTTCCATCTAGGGCTGTCCAACCACGGAAAAATTTGTTTCTAAATTCGATTCGTTTTTAGGGGGGGTTTGCATTTCGTTATTTAAAAGAATTCCGAAAATTTTCTTTTAAAAAGTTCGATATTTACGAAATTTCAGAAATTATGAAACAATTTCGAAACAATAACGAATCGATTCGTTAATGGCGGATGCGATTGCGCAATACGCTAAAAAACCCTCCAAATGGGACAGGGGGAACTTCTGAAGCTTCCCTCTCCCTCTGTTGTTGACTGTTGGTGTGATAATTTTTTTTATCACTGATAAAACAAACAATGACTATAAAACTTGCACCAGACATATGGAAATAATAACGAAATAATAACGAAACAATTTCAAAACAATTACGAAACAATTACGAAATGAATTGGAAAAATTCATTTCGTTTTTTAGTTGCTCCTGAATGGTTCAATATCGCTTCATTATAAAAAAAAAATAACGAATTAATAATGAATTACAAAATTAATGAACGAAACCGCCCAGCCCTAGTTCCATCATCAATGCAAGGTATTACATTGAACTTTTTGGACCAATTGAAGGTCAAACGTGCCACAAGCTGTCCAAAGGAATCTTGTTCTTGCAAGACAACACCTCCGCTCACAGTGCACAAGCAACCATGGCAAAACTGGTGGAGCTAGACTTCCAGATGGTTGACCACCCACCTTATTCATCGGATCTAGCTCCCTCTGACTATCATCTGTTTCCAAACCTGAAGAAACACCTCAAGGGTACCAAATTTCACACCATTTCTGATGCCATGGCTGCTACGTATGACTGATTTGAGTCACAACCAAAATCCTTCTTCTTGCAAGGCTTACAGAACTTGGAATACCGATGTAAGAAGTGTGGTGATATCAGTGGAGAGTATGTGGAATAAATGGAAAGTTTCATCTTCCTATCTCATTTCTTTCTGGATAAAGCCAAAGACTCATCAGCAGCCCCTCATATTCTGAAAGAACATATATCTTCTCCTTTGCCTCTTATCTCCATTCTGTTCATTTGTCTCTATCTCTGTCTCTCTGGTGGATAAAAAATTTGAATCTTATGTGCTGAGTTGCAATATACAGATTCAGCAGCAGATGGTGGCTCTGATGTCAGGGTCTAGTGAATCCGTTTTCAGGTTTTACTCTAAACATCCCCAGAGGTATCCAAGGTGATACACCTTTTTAAAGAATAGACATCAGCACCTTGGACAGAGATTTTCAGAGAAAACCTGGCACAATTTCACCAAATTACTGATTTATTGCGCACCTCTTGCTTCTTACTAAGGAATTTGGGTGGAGAGGCACATGACAACAGATGTACCATGCAGATGGGGGAAATACAATTTCAGGAAAGGTTAGAGAGGATGAAAGAGACAAGGAAAGGTGGGTAATCTGCTGTTTGATTTACAAAAGATTTCTCCAAATGTGTAATTTTTACTTTCTTCCACTCTCAGATTTAATTTTATGGATGGAACTCCTTCTGCAAACTTTGATACCTTCCCTGCAGCCATCATGACTGTTTTCCAGGTATGTGTTGCACTCCAGGTCAGGAAAAAGCCGTCTGATTTTAAAATACACCAGTGAAGAAACAAATCTTTTATTGAAGCTTAGTAAATAGCCAGAAGAAATAAATGCTTGTAAGAAAGTAAGAAAGTTCCAAAAAGTAGTAAGTCCATAAAAGGTAGTAACACAAAGCAATGTCCACACCAGATATAAAAGCAATCCATGACAGCATTTATCCATACAGGAATCAACAGGATGCAAAGACAATCTAAAAGGCTAAAAAACTCCACAAGAACAAGACCCCTTGAACAGGATTTCCATGGCACATGAACTTGATTTCCAAACGATGCCTGATCTAACAGGTTTCCCCTTGAGGCAAACCTTATATCCCAAAACTCAGAAATTGGTTCCACTTTCCCCCACATTTTCCCTTTCAGAGCAATGTAAACACTGAGTTTGCTGTCTATCCTGGCTAATCTCCAGCTGCCTATTCTTCAGCTCTCTATCTGGCTGCTCATTAAAATTTTCAGGTGTCAGATTGTTTTCCAAACCCATATCTTGAGAGCTCACACAGAGAGGGAGTGAACCATCATTGCCAGGCTCAGCAGGAATATTCTCATGAGAAACTGCCCTTTGCACTGGGGCCTCTCTGTCATTTTCTGCATGAAAATCATTGACCAAACCATCTCCATCTTGTACCTCAGCCTCAGCACCATTATTTCTCTCATCATTTCCCACATCAGTATCCTGAAACACAAACACAGGCTGATTCCCAACAGTATGACTCTCTTGGTCAGGCACATGGAGATAAAAACATATATTCATCTGTCTCTGTCCTAGCATGGCTGTTCTGTTTGAGCTACTGTGATTCAGAGCAGAGTGGGCACTGTAAAAATCCCAGAATACCTCTAAAAATGATAGTTACATATCAGTTTCTACCTCTTCCCCTTCGTAATGCATAACATAACTAGCTGCATGTCCTGAGATAACAAGGCATGACATCGCTGCCAGCAACTGTGATGAGAAACAGGAGCAGGGAAGCCCACAAGCAAGGTGTATTTCACATTGGAGAAGCAGAACTTCAGGGGCATCCATGTATAACCTTGGACTTTTGTTACACATTCACTTCTCAACAAGCTATTGTATAATCAAAGCTGTCGGTTTTATGCACAACTTTTGCATTTGTTGTTAAAGATATTGTGCTCCATGATAATCCTAAAGAGTTTTTTTATTATTATTTTGGCTCCAATAGACATAGACAGAACAGAATCCCATGAAATGATGTTTTTCATGTAACTCTCTTCAATTTTTTTACTTGCAACAGGTATGGCTAACTTCCCTGAAATGTTCATATACACTAGGCTAGTGGTGTCCAAACTTTTTGCAAGGAGAGCCTGATTTGTTGAGATGAAAATGTGTGAGGGCCGATCCATTCAATCTCACATATTTTGAACCATTAACATTAAATGCAAATGAACTATTTTATGAAATTTTGCAAATTTTAATTTCTTCACACAGAACATAAATGAATCTAAACAAGTTTTTACAAACATCCTATTTGAAGATGACATAAAATGAAGAAAAAAGTCTGTCTATAAAATTAAACATATCTAGGTTCATTTCAAACATTATATATTATAATTCACTATTAAACGCTCACCTTAACTTCTACATTCAAAACATGTGAACAGGAAAATAACATTAACAGTTTGTCAAGGTCAGATGCCAGCCAATTAAAGAAGTATAGTTTACTGCTCAAACAAACGCAAACAGCCCAAAACAAAACCACAGGGCAAAAAACACTTAGTCTTTAGTGTGAAACACTTCAAAAAGGTAAAAGAACCCACAAAACCCCAACTGGACTATAACCTGGATTATCCAGAGATATAATCTGTGTTAAACACAAAATGCTTAATTCAGCTCTAACTTGCTCAGACAAACAATAGAAGCAAAACAAACTGTAGAATGATGTTCACAGCCACTCTAGTGAGCAGCAGCCTTTCAAGGGTTGCAAAATGTAACCCGAGCCTCAAACACTGATTGAAACACCACGTTGAACTCTGAGTCTGGAATGTAGGAATGCAGGAAGGATGATAACACCAACTCCAGAAACACAACTGCAGACGTGGAAGGAAGAGTAACGCTGATAGTTGAAGTCCGGTCCAGTCCAGTCCGGAGGGAAACGAATAGCTGCAAGGTCAGGTCCCGATCCAATGGAAGTCACAAGGAGCCAAAGCAATGGGGGCAATACGGCAGGTCCCAAAGTCTTCTTCCAAACCCGTCTTCTGTAGCACAATGATCCAGAAAGCGCCCAACAAGACACCTTGCCGATTGCAAAGTTACAATTGCAAACCCTCCCATTTTATCTACAACTCCTCATCAGAACTCGATTCAGCCAACACCCTTGTCCCAGCTGCATCCTGTTGTAACTCCTCATCCGAACTGGAGTCGCCCCTAGTTCGGCCCAACCCATCCCAAGCTGTGCCTCTTCCACCACTCCTCCAGGTAGTCCATCTCTGGTCTAATCCTGAAGTTCCCCAAGACCCATCCGTGCCTTCACTACTCCAACCTTCAAACGTGCCACTGCTTGTGGGTTCAGCACAAATATCCCAAATCTCTTGAACCCTTGTCCAATCCAACCCATCAGACCCAGAGTCTAATATCCCATCATCCATATCATTTGCATCAAAACCTTCAAAAGAATCCTCATCTGTTGGCTCACTAAGTATCTCCCGGATTCTTTTCCTCTGTTGCTCTTCCTCATAGTCTTGCTTGCGAGTAGTTTTCCTGCCTCTCCTAATACAACTAGAGTTACTATCACTGCCAGCAGACTCTATCACAACACAGTTACCTTATTGCTTTTCTTAAACCGAAGAGATTTCACACACTTTGGGTATACTTTGCCTATGGTTTAATTTTTTTCCCTTTTTTCTTGGACTCAACTATCATTTCCTACTTTTCTATCTTCTTCACAATATTCTCCCACTTTACGTGTAACCATATTATGTCTTAATAAAAATTATTTTTAAAAAACAGTTATCTTATTCAGAAATACAAAAGATTGAGGGTCATATGAATCCGTGTATCACTCGTTCTTTAGTTTTTCAATTAACTATGAATATTTTTAAAAAACAAAAAAAGTTTTTTGATTTTGAATTGAATATCAAATCCAAAAAAGCCATGTTTTCCATTATTTTAATTTTAGACTCAGATCAAAAATACAAAATGGAAAAATGAGTTACCGGACCTAATTTGATTTTAATTTTTAATTTATTGGGTTTACAAGAGCTGGTTTGATTGTCAATTGAAAGAAAGAACAAATTATACATGGATTGATAAGACTCATTGCATATTCACTACTGTGGTTTTGATCATCTTCTGGTAAAATATAACATAGCTTTTTTGTACGTGTGTATTTTATACTGTGGTTAACAGTGCTGGCGGGCCGCATATTATTGATTTTATGACAAAGGCTAAGGGCTGGTGAAAGTATGAACTTGGGCCACTATTGGCCCCCGGGTTGGACTTTGGACATGCCTGCACTAGACTGTGATTTTGAAATAACAACGAGTTAGTGTTAATGACAAATGCTAGTTCTTCTAGTTCACTGAATTTTCTGATGTCTCCTCTTCGCTCTATTCTCTGTTAAAACATTCATTTTTTTTCTACCTGTACAATCAAGTCCCACATTGACTTGTGCCGACTCCCTGATGCTCTATGTTCCTTGTCCTTGTGAGAAAGCTCTCTCCATGCCTTACTCACAAGATGGATTCATTTGCTCATCTCCTTTTCCCCCTCTTCTTCCATTTTAAGTACTATAGAACTTCATTTGCCCTCAAACCCCTTTGATTCTTTTGATTCTGAATCTCCTACTGGTCTTTTTTGTGTGCCAGAAACTGCATAGTTTTCTAAATTCAGCAAGGCACATCTTTTCTTTTCCATTAAATGAATTCTTTCTCAACAATAACTCAACAAAGACTTCAAAGAACATTATCTTCTTGAAGATTCCTACTACCTCGAAACTAAGAGATAACATGCATAGTGTTTGAAGCAGCCCTTACTTTACTATACCAGTTCAGAGTGCAGGTGAAAAATTATATATATTTTTTTAAAAAATGAAGAAACCTCCAGAACACAGGAAACTAAAATGCTTTGACATTCTCTCCTACAAGTGTATTTATCCCCAAATTCTAATTTATAGCTTTTATAGATTTTATTTAAAAGAGGCCTACAGTATTTAGATATAAGACCCTCTGATCTACAGTCTATACTTGTATAGTCTAGCAAGAACTAATTTAGTAGTTTAGTTCTTAATGTTTCATTTTAGGTCCTTCTTAAAAATTCAATACTCTTTGTATTGTCGAATGCTTTCATGGCCGGAATCACTGGGTTGTTGTAGGTTTTCTTGGGCTGTATGGCCATGGTCTAGAGGCATTCTCTCCTGATGTTTCGCCTGCATCTATGGCAAGCATCCTCAGAGGTAGTGAGGTCTGTTGGAACTAGGAAAAGGGTTTTATATATCTGTGGAATGACCAGGGTGAGATAAAGGACTCTTGTCTGCTGGAACTAGGTGTGAATGTTTCAACTGACCACCTTGATTAGCATATAATGGCCTGACTCTGCCTGGGGCAAACTTTTGTTGAGAGGTAATTAGATGTCCCTGCCTGCTTCCTCTCTGTTGTTGTGCTGTTGAAATTTTAGAGTTTTTTTTAATACTGGTAGCCAGATTTTGTTCATTTTCATGGTTTCCTCCTTTCTGTTGAAATTGTCCACATGCTTGTGTATTTCAATGGCTTCTCTGTGTAGTCTGACATGGTGGTTGTGAGAGTGGTCCAGCATTTCTGTGTTCTCAGATAAAATGCTGTGTCCAGGTTGGTTCATCAGGTGCTCTGCTATGGCTGATTTCTCTGGTTTTCTAGATGTCCTAGTCATCCGCAAACCAGATCAACAATTGGGTCACACCGTTTACAGAAAACCCACACACACAGATAGATATCTACATAAAAACTCCAACCATCACCCAAGTCAAAAAAGAAGCACCATTAAAGCCTTGGCAGACTGTACAAAAAGAATCTGTGAACCCCTCCTCCTCCAAGATGAACTGAACCACCTCAACTGGGCTCTCCAGGCCAATGGATACTCCACCTCAGACATCAGAAGAGCTGCAAGACCGAGAACAAGCCACAAGAGTCAAGATGAAGATCCACCCAGAGGAAAAATGTTCTTTCCATACATCAAGGGAACCACTGACCACATAGGGAAGCTGATGAGGAAACACAACATACAAACTATCTACAGACCCACCAAGAAAATCCAACAAATGCTACGTTCAGCAAAGGACAAGAGGGAACCTCTCACTTCTGCAGGAGTCTACCGTATACCATGCAGCTGTGGACAAGTCTACATAGGGACCACCAAACGCAGCCCAGAAACGCATCAAGGAACATGAAAGGCACTGCAGACTACTTCAACCAAGAGAAATCAGCCATAGCAGAGCACCTGATGAACCAACCTGGACACAGCATATTATTTGAGAACACAGAAATGCTGGACCACTCTCACAACCACCATGTCAGACTACACAGAGAAGCCATTGAAATCCACAAACATGTGGACAATTTCAACAGAAAGGAATAAACCATGAAAATGAACAAAATCTGGCTACCAGTATTAAAAAATTCTAAAATTGCAACAGCAAAAACAGCAGAGAGAAAAACAGGCAGGGACATCTAATCACCTTTCAAGAAGAGTTTGCTCCAGGCACAGTCAGCCCATTGTATGCTAATCAAGGTGGTCAGTTGAAAGATTCACACCTAGCCCAACTTACAAAACCCTTTGTCTCACCCTGGTCATTCCACAGATATATAAACCCCTTTTTTCCCAGCTCCAGCAGACCTCACCTCTGAGGATGCTTGCCATAGATGCAGGCGAAACGTCAGGAGAAATGCCTCTAGAACATGGCCATATAGCCCGAAAAAACCCACAAGAACTGAGTGATTCCAGCCATGAAAGCCTTCGACAGTATTCAGTGAGTTTTGATTTTTAAGTTTTTGTGTGGGTATCCCCCCCCCAACATGGTTCTTAATATCTGTTTGTATACACAAAACTTACAAATTAGATACAACTTAATAATTAAAAACAAAATTTTGCACACCCCTAAAATATTTCTGATAGAGAGGGAGACGGTTTCTTTTTGTGTGTGTGATTTGATTTTTTATAGGACCTCCACTCCTATTGCAGCAGCTTTCCCCAAGGAAAATAACCATGCGATTGTAACATAACTACTTGTTTGTTTAGATCTTGACAGGTGAAGACTGGAATGAAGTGATGTACAATGGGATCCGCTCCCAAGGTGGTGTCAGCTCAGGAATGTGGTCATCCATCTATTTCATTGTACTCACACTGTTTGGAAACTGTATCCTTTAAATTGTGCTATTTTGAAGCTGATTGTGATGTTGCATTTTGCAAGTATCAGCACCATGGAGAGCACGAGTATGAGCATGTCTGTTGACAAGATTACCTTTACTTGAATTTTTACTGCCAGTGATCAATCTCTAAAACCTAGATGGCCTTTTTGTGTTGCTAGATAAACCATGTGTCACCCAGTAAGTCCATGAATTTCATCAAGTTTCCTGGAGCGCCCGGTGGCGCAGTGGGTTAAAGCCCTGTGCCGGCATGACTGAAGACTGACAGGTTGCAGGTTCGAATCCGAGGAGAGGCGGATGAGCTCCCTCTATCGACTCCAGCTCCTCATGCGGGGACATGAGAGAAGCCTCCCACAAGGATGATAAAAACATCAAATCATTCGGGCGTCCCCTGGGCAATGTCCTTGCAGACGGCCAATTCTCTCACACCAGAAGCAACTTGCAGTTTCTCAAGTTGCTCCTGACACGACAATAAAAAATCAAGTTTCCTTAGGAAGTAATATTCAGACAATTCCTTCCTGTCTGCCTTTCTGGTCTGTAATCCCATGATTTATCTAGGTGTCAGACATTGGAATAGATATGTTAAAATTGCAGTACCAGAATAGTGCTGAGATAGTATGGCATTCTTTATAATTGAGAGAGATATAGTGTAATAACAAAATACAAGTTGCAAAGCGTTATCAAAACAGAACTATGTTAACATAAAGCGTGTAAATACACTGCACATGAATCACAAAACAAAATTGAATGTTATTGAATGTTAGTTATCTTGTAGTCCTTGAGACAGTAAATTATCTTCAAATACTGTCAAAATTAAGTCCAAATGGTATCCAGTTCAAAATATAATCCAAATGATGATACAACACTACTGAAGACCTTACTGTAGGGCCAGCGTTGTCTCATTTATAGCGGATGTATGGTGTGAACCACCCACTTTCATAAAGAAGACAAACCCTGAAGAAGGGGAAGTCCCCCGAAACAAGGCTATAGGGTATAGGGTTACAGCCTGTGCTGGATGGGGTCGCACTCCCCTTGAAGGCGCAGGTTCGCAGCTTGGGTGTGACCCTGGATTCATCGTTGAGCCTGGATCCCCAGGTTTCAGCGGTGACCAGGGGAGCATTTGCACAGCTCAGGCTCGTGCGCCAGCTGCGCCCGTACCTCGGGAAGTCTGACTTGGCCATGGTAGTACACGCTCTGGTCACATCCCGCCTTGACTACTGCAACGCTCTCTACGTGGGGCTGCCCTTGAAGACGGCCCGGAAGCTCCAGCTAGTCCAGCGCGCGGCAGCCATGTTACTAACAGGAGCGGGACGCAGGGAGCACACAACGCCCTTGTTGTTCCAGCTCCACTGGCTGCCGATCTGCTACCGGGCCCAATTCAAGGTGCTGGTGCTGGCCTACAAAGCCCTAAACGGTTCCGGCCCAAAATACCTTCTGACCGCATCTCGGCCTATGAGCCCACGAGGACTTTGAGATCGTCTGGGGAGGCCCTTCTCTCGATCCCGCCTGCCTCACAGGCACGTCTGGCGGGGACGAGGGATAGGGCCTTCTCGGTGGTGGCCCCCCGGCTGTGGAACACCCTCCCTGTAGACATCAGACAGGCGCCCTCCCTTATGACATTCCGCAAGAGCCTAAAGACATGGTTATTTGAGAAGGCGTTTGACTAAGTGCTACAACAATTGGCAATGATGACTGGAACGGAATATGGATAACGAGATTGGTTTATGATTCTACGATGAGACGGCGCGGATGATTTAGTGTAATTGTATTATTGATAGTTATGTTGATATTTTGTTGTGATATTGCCTTATTGTAAACTGTTTTTATATGTTGTACACCGCCGTGAGTCGCCCTAGGGCTGAGAACGGCGGTCAACAAATGCAGTAAATAAATAAATAATAAATAAGGCAACCTCAACTCGGGGATCCTTGTCGTATCATCATTTGGATTATATTTTGAACAGGATACCATTTGGACTTAATTTGGACAGTATTTGAAGATAATTTACAGTCTCAAGGACTACAAGATAACTAAGTAACATTCAATTTTGTTTTGTGATTCATGTGCAGTGTATTTACACGTTTTATGTTAACATAGTTCTGTTTTGATAACGTTTTGCAACTTGTATTTTGTTATTGTTCATAGATATCTGTGTTTCTTGGATATGAGAGATATAGTGTAGCCATTAAGATTTTATTCATGTTTTCCTTATTTATTTATTTTATTTACCATATTTATATACCGCTCCTCTCAGGCCAGAGGAGACTCGGAGCCCTTGCCCCGTATGACTCCATCTTTCACTCATGTTTGGAGTCGTGTCAACTGAAAACTGGGGAAAACTGTTTCAACACTTACCACAAAGTAGGATGCACCTAATTGGTTTAATGAGCTGCACCTAGTTGGTCCAATCAAATGGTTTATACACCCTCAACGTTTTTAGATACTCTGCTTAATGTCTTCTTGGCCATTGCTGTGGACAACTTAGCCAACGCACAGGAGCTGACAAAGGTAAATATAAACCATTTTAATACATGTCACCCAATTCCTTTTAAGGGTTATCCAGATCTCTATGTATTCTTAACAATACCAATAACATGTTAATGGAGCATAACATGATCTGCTATTTGTAAAAGCTGAGACACAAATATGAGGGGTATTTTTTAAGTAAGGTCCGTTGGAACATAAGTACACAATGAAAGTTTATTTCCAAAAAGTAAATTTATTTTCAGAAAGTACATACTTCACTCTATTTTTTGACATAGTTGCCAAGTTTGTTCAAGCACTTGTCATACCTCTGAACCAATTTTAATACCCTGTTCTCACGAATTCTTGCTTCAACTGAAGCCACCAAATCGTGTGTAATCAAAGAATGGCAACCGGAGCGGTCCTCATCATGGACGTTGTCACGGCCATCTTTGAATTGTTGTACCCACTTACGCACTTTGCTTTCACTCATAACAGTATCACCGTACACTTCACAAATCTGTCGATGAATTTCTGCAGCAGGCAGGTTCCTTGCTGACAAAAACCGTATCACTGAGCGAACCTCACATGCGGCGGGTGAGTTGATAGTCTTAAACATTTTTAAAGCACAGAACAGAACCGTACAGGTTAGCTACAGAGCGGAAACTGAGCACAGTTGTTCCCGAGGCATGCCTGTACACGACGCATGCGCTCGTTGCGATATGCGTGCGAACTACTAGTGCCTACAACAAAACGGACCTTACTTAAAAAATACCCCTCCTATTACAGAATGCCAAGAACTCCACTCTAGAATATGCAAAATCATAACAAGACATGCTTGCCTGATTTATTAATACCAAATATGTGCCCTTCTTTCCAACAGCTCCAATTCTTTTTAGTGAGACGTGCCCAGTAAAAGCTCATAGATAACGCTTCCCTCCCAAATTACCTGGTCATTCTTTTTCTTTACAGGGGCTGAATTTTATTACTGATGGTGTTTTGAGAGCACAGCACTAGAAACGTCATTTATTTTCCTCTGCTGTCCAATACTGCTGCAGTGATCATTAGTTAATAATTATGGCTTGGGTCCATGCCAAGAAAGGTTTCACTGGGAATTGGTGTTTGGTTGTTTTCCAAGATACCACCCAGAGCTAGTTGAGCAGATGAAACCATGGCTGCTTTCAGAGTGATATGATAATAGACATGCAAAGATTGCATGCCATATCTTCAGTTTCCAGCACATCTTCACCATTCTCTTGTACTGCCTAGATGTCGAGCAGATCCTCTAGCACAGACGTAACTCTGACAGGGTTAATGGAATTAAATTGAGCATAATAGTCTGTTGCATTGTCCATTTTACCTCTGGGAGAGATTAAATATTCATCTTCCTAATAATTAAGACCTTTAGAATTTTATGCCTATAATTACAAAAATGACACCTAGAAGTTTGTTAAAGTTTTAAGTGAAGTCTGAAATTATAACGACAATGAAATCTGGGTTGTTGTAGATTTTTTCGGGCTATATGGCCATGGTCTAGAGGCATTCTCTCCTGACGTTTCGCCTGCATCTATAGCAAGCATCCTCAGAGGTAGTGAGGTCTGTTGGAACTAGGGAAAAGGGTTTATATATCTGTGGAATGACCAGGGTGGGACAAAGGACTCTTGTCTGCTGGTGCTAGGTGTGAATGTTTCAACTGACCACCTTGATTAGCATATAATGGCCTGGCAGTGCCTGGAGCAAACTTTTGTTGAGAGGTGATTAGATGTCCTTGTTTGTTTCCTCTCTGTTGTTGTGCTGTTGTAATTTTAGAGTTTTTTAATACTGGTAGCCAGATTTTGTTCAGATCTGGCCAGAAAATCAGCCATAGCAGAGCGCCTGATGAACCAACCCGGACACAGCATTTTATTTGAGAACACAGAAATGCTGGACCACTCTCACAACCACCATGTCAGACTACACAGAGAAGCCATTGAAATCCACAAGCATGTGGACAATTTCAACAGAAAGGAGGAAACCATGAAAATGAACAAAATCTGGCTACCAGTATTAAAAAACTCTAAAATTACAACAGCACAACAACAGAGAGGAAACAAACAAGGACATCTAATCACCTCTCAACAAAAGTTTGCTCCAGGCACTGTCAGGCCATTATATGCTAATCAAGGTGGTCAGTTGACACATTCACACCTAGCTCCAGCAGACAAGAGTCCTTTGTCCCACCCTGGTCATTCCACAGATATATAAACCCTTTTTCCTAGTTCCAACAGACCTCACTACCTCTGAGGATGCTTGCCATAGATGCAGGCGAAACATCAGGAGAGAATGCCTCTAGTCCATGGCCATATAGCCCGAAAAAATCTACAACAACCCAATGATTCCGGCCATGAAAGCCTTCGACAATAGACAATGAAATCACAGCTTACTTGAGATGAAGGTACTCTGCTTTGTTCGCCAAGCAATCAAACTAGTGAGATTCAGTCATGCAGCATAAATATGGTAGGGCGGTGGTTCTCAACCTGTGGGTCACCAGATGTTTTGGTCTTCAACTCCCAGAAATCCTAACATCTGATAAACTGGCTGGGATTTCTAGGACTTGTAGGACAAAACACCTGGGGACCCACAGGTTGAGAACCACTATGGTAGGGAAAATTGTGTCAGAATGCCTTTCCAACAGACTAACTGTTAAGGTCTACCTGATTAATTTCCCCAATCTCTTGTATAACATTTGATGATGTAGACTGGCATTGGTGGAAACTTCTTTCTCATGGTTGCATATTTCCTCGCCTTTCCTTTCTAGAATTAGAAATTTAGAAATTAGTATGTCTGTGTGTATATAAGAGAAAAAGAGTCCTGCTGATTTCAGGGGATTTTATTTTCTCTCTGCTACCTGGCTTCTGGGATTTTTATGCCTCTGTCCTGAGCATAACTATTTGGTGCTGTCTCTTGCTTGAGGATGCTGCTGGTGACCAAGAATGAACTCACACTGTTTTCATATAACATGTAGCAACAATGGTTGTGAAAATTGAGCCAGGCAGGAGAGAATAGGTTTGCACCACCTAAAACACACCACAATCTATTAATTCAGGCTGTTCTGTCATGTGCTGGGCCTCTAAAGAATTTCCTTTAGAACAGGACGTGCAACCTTTGCCCAGCGGGAAGCCAGGGGGCCCAAGGAGAAGTTCTCAGAGGTTTTCCACCACAAATGAACTTTAGATGGCTTGTGAAGTATAACAAAGTCTTTTATTAATGAACAATCAAACAGAAACTTCTCTTGTCTTCAATAAAGCTAAACAAATGCTTCCAGGCTTTATGCAACTGGTGACTTCCTAATCTTGCCCACGAAGGACAGGCAACTGTCTTCAATAACTTCTTTACTTTAAAGGAAAATCCCCTTTTTAAGATCCCAGGCTGACTGTAATCTAACCCTTACTGATGTGGGCTCCGCTACCGGGTCGAACTGCATCTCGAAGCACCGAGTGGACCTACCAGTAAAGGCTCAGATATACTCCAGCTGGAGTTCTTTGGTCTTTAGGGCTGTTTTCCTGGAAATCTTTGGAGACTCTTAAGACTGTTTCCCCCCGGAAAGTCTTGAGGGTTGAAGCTTTTGTACAGGGGAAGCTTGCACACATCCTGTACATTAGCTTTCCTTGCTGAGACTAACTAAAAATGGCTCCCTTCTCTTCCCAATTGGCCTGAGCAAGGGGCGGAACCAAAACTCAACAATGATGGACAGGTGACTTGCCCTATGACTGCAACCAAAGCAAGGCACCTATCTGCAGAGTCCCTGAAACCCAGGGCTGCAAGCAAACATTTAATATAAAGCAAATAAACCTGGAGCTCCTGGTACAGCCGTACCAGTACGCAGGCTTCTTCACACAGGGCGCATGAACCTCAAAGAGTCAGTGGATAGATTTCAGGGGGGTTCATAAACTAGGATAGGGAAATTCATTAATATCTGTAACTCAAACGCAACATTGCCTTCAATTATGAACATAAACAACAAACACAGTTATTTATTTATTTATTTATTTATTTATTTACGGCATTTATATGCCACCCTTCTTACCCCGAAGGGGACTCAGAGCAGCTTACAAGACACATTTTCATACAATATGTTATATTATTAGCATAGGACAATATCAGTATTATATATTACTATATTGCACTATACCATTATATTGTAATATTATTAGTAATATTACATGTAATGTAAATATATAATTATAATATTGTATTATTATTACTAGTATTATATTGTTTTACATTATAATATTATAAATATTATATGTATATACAATATACTATATTATATTATTAGTAAAGACAAGATGGAACTGTCTTCTGCTCCCCTCTATATTATATTAGCAGTAGCTGAACGTAAATCACAGATTTGTTCATCTTGGAATACAGTTGTTGCAGATATCTCAAAATATTATTTGTGATGATACGGAATCTGTAGGCTTCACCTAACAACTAAAGGGGTTATTGGCAAGAAAAAGGCCAAGAACCCCTGTGTTAGTGGCACATACAAATATGAGTTAATCATAAGCCTCTCAATATTCTTTTTAGTCAATGTGGAGGTTAGTATTCCCTTCCTCTCTCTGCACTGATGAAAACTGTTCTGTTCCGACTTACTGTGATATGCTGATCCATACAAAATACTGACTACACAGTCATAAAAAACTAATCATTAAAGGAAAACAGGGTATTAAGCTAGACTATTCAACAAGACAAATGGAAATTACAAAGTAGATTCATGAAACGAATGTAGAATAAAACCAACAGCTGTCTATTGCTCACAGCGCTTTCACAGTCTACTATTAACACACCTATGTCTCACAAATGAATGAAGAAATGGTGGAGGAGTTTTTTGCTGAATGAACGGTTTACTAGGGATAGTACTGGAGTGAGTTCATACACTGTGGACACGTCACAGAGAAGTTGGGGAAGCAAGGCAGAAGAAAGAATCATAGAATCATAGAATCAAAGAGTTGGAAGAAACCTCATGGGCCATCCAGTCCAACCCCCTGCCAAGAAGCAGGAATATTGCATTCAAATCACCCCTGACAGATGGCCATCCAGCCTCTGTTTAAAAGCTTCCAAAGAAGGAGCCTCCACCACACAAGAAACTGTGACACTCTCTTCCCTCATTACATTGATGAATATAAACTGGCAACACTGTGTGCATGCTGGGGGGGGGGGGGATTGGGCAGTTATATGCAAAATGTGGAGATTGCAGAGTGGGGGGAGGTACTGGGTGGAAACTAGTTTTCGATGAAGTTTTATTAAATCAGGGAACATCACTCAAACCATTGATTGAAGACAAGGGAGGGAGATAAGCTGGGGAGGGGGATGGGCCCAGCTGGGGGGCCCCAATAGAGGTGGTGTCAGGAAGGGGGAGATATGGGAAAGGGAGACCCAAAACATTAATTCAGCCCCTGTGAAAGAACTCTTATAATTCCAAATTGAGCACCTGACAAAGTTAAGCTGAGTAATCAGGATGGTGGCCCCTCCAGGTTAAGAGTAGTACTGTTTAATGCCAGGTCAGTTAATGGGAAAACATCTAACATTCAGGATTTAATCCTTGAAGAACATGCAGACCTGTCGTGTATAACAGAGACTTGGATAGACGAGGCTGGAGGAGTTAATCTCTTGCAGCTCTGTCCACCAAGTTACTCTGTGCAGCACGAGTCAAGACCTGGAGGGCAGGGAGGTGGAGTCGCAGTAGTCTATAAGGATTCTATCACCCTGACCAGGTGCCCCATCCCACAGTCAACATGGTACTGAAACAGCCTTAGTAGATGATCTATGCTGGGAACTAGACGGGGGGTGGGGTGTCCCTGTTGATTCTGCTGGACCTCTCAGCAGCCTTTGATACTGTTGACCATGGTATCCTTCTGGGTTGCCTCACACACATGGGACTTGGAGGTACTGTTTTAAAGGGATGATCCCAAAAGGTATTATTGAGAGACACCTGTTCGACCCCACAACCTTTGTGTTGTGCAATCCCACAGGGTTCAGTACTGTCACCCATGTTATTTAATATCTACAAGGAAACTGCTGGAGGAGATCATCTGAAATTTTGGAGTACGGTGCCACCTGTACGCAGATGACGTCCAAATCTGTCACTCCTTCTCACTTGTTACTAAGGAGGCTGTCCAAACCTTGAACCTGTGTTTGGCAGTTGTATCAGACTGGATAAGGGCTAACAAATTGAAATTGAATCCAGACAAGACAGAGGTCCTCCTGGTTAACTGAAAGGCTGAACAGGGCATAGGTTTATAGCCTGTGTTGGATGGGGTTTCACTCCCCCTCAGGTTCACAGTTTGAGAGTCCTCCTGGACTCATCACTGAGCCTGGAACCCCAAGTCTCGGTGGTGGCCAGGTGAGCTTTTGCACAGGTAAAACTAGTGTGTCAGCTGCACCCATAGCTTGGGAAGTCTGATCTGGCTATAGAGGTCCATGCTCTGGTTATGTTGTGACTCAGCTGGAATCATAGAGTGTTTCTGATGAGGATGATGGGACTCAGATTCACAGTCCGGTTCAAAATGTCCCTGTTATAGACAGTGAAGAAGTGCAGTTTCCCACAGTAAGGTATGGGAGCGTTGATACTGAAAATAGCCAGGTGCAGGTGAAAATTGACTCAGAAAAGGAGGATAGTTCTCAACCTGATAATGAGCAAGCAGGGAAACAGGCTGACACTAATGAGCAGACTGACCTTGACGAAATGGGAACCTTAGATCGGGCTGACCGTTTGGAATTCCGTGTTCGAAGGAGTGAGAGAATAGCTAACAAGAGGGAGGCCAGAGGCCAAAGAAACGCCTTCATGTTTTGCAAAGGGTATTAAACAGTGTGTTTGAGACCAGACCTTTTTCAAAGCAACTTTGTGTTTACCAAAGAAGCTTGCCTAAGCTTGGCTGGATTATCTTGCAGTTCTCGTGTTCATGGTTTCAGGACTTTGTCGTGTTCTCTTGGGTTTTGCTTTGCTGGTGCCTTTTGGATTAAGCTTCAAGTGCTAAGTTATATTGATTTTTTGGAACACTAACCTTTGCTTTTAAGATCTTTTTTACCTTTTATTTTTAATAAACCATAAAGACTTCTGGCTGTGTGCAGTTTGGTGTTTTCAGCAAGGTGAATCTACTCTGAGGTGCAACAGGTTATATCCCAAATAGATTACTGCAATTGCACTCTACGTGGAGTTGCCTTTGAAGACTGTTCGGAAACTCCAACTAGTCCAACGAGTGGCAGCCAGATTACTCACTGGAGTGACATACAGGGAGCATACCACCTACCTGTTATGTCAGTTCCACTAGCTGCCGGTCCATTTCCGAGCACAATTAAAAGTGCTGGTCTTGACCTATAAATTCCTATATGGTTCCGGCCCAGCTTATTTGTCCAAATATATCTCCTCTATGATCCACCCCAGAGTTTAAGATCATCCGGGAAGGCCCTGCTCTTGATCCTGCCCCCTTTGCAAGACTGATTGATGGGCATGAAGGACAGGGACTTCTCGGTGGTGGCCCCCCACCTGTGGAACACTCCAGTGAAATTAGGTTGGCTTCATCTCTCCTTTCCTTTAGGAAAACAAGCTCAAATCATGGTTCTGGGACCAGTAGCAGGCTTAGCAATAACCACAACGATTCTTGAGAATAGATAATGGGCTAGCTTCGGACTGGGACTCTGGACACTAAATTGGATTTGGATGGGGCTATGTTGTTTTTAGTAATGTTAGTAATTGGCACCTAATTGTTGCCGGTTGTAAGCCGCCCTGAGTCCATGTTCCCCCCTCCCCTCCGGGGGGGGGGGCGTTGAGAAGGACGGGATACAAATGTTTGAAATAAAATTCGAAATAAATACAGACCTCTGCCCTATACCATGCTGCAACCTAATACCTTGACTGATAACACAGCTCAGGCATTCATAGTGCATGAAGTATTATTCTGTGTTTTCCTCTTTTAATTAGTTCTTTTGTCTTGTGTTTAGGATGAGCAGGAAGAAGAAGAAGCTTTTAATCAGAAGCACGCACTGCAGAAAGCCAAGGAAGTCAGTCCTATGTCTGCTCCCAACATGCCTGCTATAGAGTGAGTTGCCAGCCTCATCCATCATTGGTCACCATCTCTCTAAATCCTCATATTTGTTACCATCATGGCTATAAGAAAGAAAGCGCTGGTGGGAGGTGTCACTGCTTAAAATTCACCTATAGAGTTGTTGATAGCTCATTTCTCAGATGAAATATCTGAGAAACTTCAAGTAAACACAAAAAGAATTTGACATGGTGACTAAACTGCTGAAAAAGATTGCCTGTGTATTCCATCAACACTATATTTCTCAAAAAGGTTTGGTGTATTCTGAGCAAAGATCTCCGCTTAAGGCTGCAAGGATTCACTCTTGATCTAAGGGGCTGAAATGGATTAGTTGGTTCAAACTAATATGAAAAGGGAAAGGTGTGTTATTAAACTAGTAGGCATTAAACTAGTTTGCATGTTTCAGCAATTTGTTGGAAAGGCCTTTCTTTGGTGCAAACATCTCAAAATTGTCCAATTTATCCTCACCAGATGCCAAATCAAAACATTGGTCCTTCTAGCTAAGTACTGCATAGTAGTTTCCAGGGTTTGAGACCTAAGAAATGTTTCTGAGTTAGAAAATAGAGGTACCAGGGATTAGCAACTGGAAAAAAGAGATGTAAGTTGGGATATGGTGGTGGAGGGAGGGAGTCAAGACAGAGTGGTATAAAATTATGCATGAGATGATCAAACTGGCAAGTTCCTTATGCATTCCAAAAGTCAGATTTTGCATCAGCTGAATTTTCTAGACCAGTGGTTCTCAACCTAGGGTTCCCAGGTGTTTTTGGCCTTCAACTCCCAGAAATCCTAACAGCTGGTGAACTGGCTGGGATTTCTGGGAGTTGTAGGCCAACAACATCTGGGGACTCCAGGTTGAGAACCACTGTTCTAGACTATCTTTATAGTATCCCAGTCTGTTATCTCCAGATAGGATCCCAAATGGTGAGCCCACCCAAGATGGTAAAAGGAACAAATGGGCTTAGATCAGGGAGCACCTCCCAAGCTGTGTACCTAACTCTTCAGGAGAGTGCAACACTGTCCAAATCTGGTTGCAAATCTCTACCTTGATCAGCAATCTTCTTAGCCAATAAGCCTACTATTTTGTAGGATTAGTTTTCAGTTTGTTTGGTCTCACCCACTACAGAACTGCATCCAGATACTAGGCTTGGTTGATTTTTTTAAAAAGGTTCAAAACTCATTTCAGATGTAGGGGACGATGGTGGTTCGATTCTAAAATCAATTCCAATTTTCACAGAAAAAAATTCAAAACTTTTCAAAACTTCCGAGACTTCCGAATCCTTTCGTTAATGGTTTGAAAGTGATATTTCCTGTTTCATTGGGTGATCTTTACTTTGAAAATAGTTGTTTTACTCCAGAAGCAGGGAAAAGCAAGTGGAGGAAATTCCTTCTTTCTCTGGTTTAAAACTGGCTTCTCTGGCTTGAGCTTAGGCCAGGGACCAGAAGCYGGGAAAAGCAAGCAGAGGAAATTCCTTCATTCTCTGGTTTAAAACTGGCTTGTCTGGKTTTAAAACTGGCTTCTCTGGCTTGAGCCAAGGCCAGGAAATTCCTTCCTTCTCTGGTTTAAAACTGGCTTCTCTGGCTTGAGTCAAGGCCAGGGACCAGAAGCAGGGAAAAGCAAGCGGAGGAAATTCCTTTGTTCTCTGGTTTTAAACGGGCTTCTCTGACTTTAAAACTGGCTTCTCTGGTCTGAGCTGAGGCCAGTAAATTCCTTCCTTCTCTGGTTTAAAACTGGCTTCTCTGGCTTGAGCRGAGACCGGGGACCAAAAGCGGGGAAAAGCAAGCGGAGGAAATTCCTTCTTTCTGTGGTTTAAAACTGGCTTGAGCAGTGGCCAGGAAATTCTTTCCTTCTATGGTATAAAACTGGCTTCTCTGGCTTGAGTCAAGGCCAGGAAATTCCTTCCTTCTCTGGTTTAAAACTGGCTTCTCTGGCTAGAGTCAAGGCCAGGGACCAGAAGCGGGGAAAAGCAAGCGGAGGAAATGCCTTCATTCTCTGGTTTAAAACCAGCTTCTCTGGCTTTAAAACTGGCTTCTCTGGCTTGAGCCAAGGCCAGGAAGTTCCTTCCTTCTCTGGTTTAAAACTGGCTTCTCTGGCTTGAGCCAAGACCAGGGACCAGGGACCAGAAGCAGGGAAAAGCAAGCGGAGGAAATTCCTTTGTTCTCTGGTTTTAAACTGGCTTCTCTGGCTTTAAAACTGGCTTCTCTGGCTTGAGCCGAAGCCAGGAAATTCCTTCCTTCTCTGGTTTAAAACTGGCTTGAGCCAAGACCAGGGACCAGAAGCGAGGAAAAGCAAGCAGAGGAAAGTCCTTCTGTGGTTTAAAACTTGCTTGAGCTGCAGCCAGGAAATTCCTTCCTTCTCTGGTTTAAAACTGGCTTCTCTGGTTTAAAACTGGCTTCTCTGGCTTGATCTGAGGCCAGGGACCAGAAGCAGGGAAAAGTTGAATAATTCCTGAGTCATAACAAAAACGGTGGAAAAAGCTTTGGAAGGGCAAAGGGACTTTCAATTTTTAAAAAAGCTTCGATATCGCTTCAAAAAGGTAATTTTAACAAAATTATTACAAGCAACAAGTTATCCGAGCAACTCTATCCATACCTACCAGATACCTATTCAAAATTTTTATTGCCTCCCTGAGACTCATAGGTAGAAACAAGAAGTAGAAAAGTGTATTGTGTGCAAACTAGTGATACTTCAACCCAAACCTAATGATGACCCTGTAGTCTCTATTTTATTACAATGAAGATATGCTGGACCTTTGAGGTACCACAGTATCCAGAGGATAGTATTCTACTTCCCAGGTGCCATCAATTGGACTTGCTCCTCCTGGAAGCCATATAACATGGTGTTTCGAAGTTCCTCTCTAACAAGTGACCCAGTAGGATATCATGAGTGATATGTTAAAAGCCACTGAGAGGTCCTAGACAGCAGTCAAGGGAAGACTCCCTATCCATGTTCTGGCAAAGGTCCTGTAACGGCCCTTCCACACAGCTATATAACCCAGAATATTAAGGCAGATAATCCACAATATCTGCTTTGAACTGGATTATCTGAGTCCACACTGCCACATAATCCAGTTCAAAGCAGATGTTGTGAGGTTTTATACAGCTGCATGGAAGGGGCCTAAGGCAATTTTGCTCCTATAGCCATTCTAGAGGCAGCATTACAATGGAAATAAATAATCATTTTTTTCTGTCTGAATATGATACATCATAATCCACTCACCCACTCCAGCACCTAAGTCTGACATTGGATTCTGGTTGGTTTCTTTAAAGTGGGTAAATGCAAATGAAGGCATATTGAGTTGTTCCATAAAACTGGTCTGCTGCAAAATAACAACTATTGTTTTGATTATGTCACATTTGAAATGGCCTTGACTCTGCCTAGTAAATCAGGTTACTAAGAGGGTATCTTTGCCACTGTAAAGCTTTTCCATTGTATCTGACTCCCAAAAACTTGTTTATATGACATCTTGGTAGAAAGAAAAGTATACATCTGACATACCTACTTATATGAGTCATATGCTGCTCTGTTATTGGTAAGAGGTGTGAGAATGGGATAGGTTTTCTCAGTAACTGTGCTCCAATCACAATATTTTGCTCTTAAGTGGAAATGAATAGATTATGAAATGAACCAGAAATTGTTTAGCTGAACATGTCAAAGCAACTGTGGCCATTTATTTCTCAAAAAGAAGTTAAATCTTTGCAATTGGGTGTTCAATCCAAAATAGATGGATGACCAAAGTTGTTGTTGTTGGGTGTGTTTAAGTCATTTCTGGTTTATGACATAAATTGAAATAATATATTTTGGCTGAGAAGCAGGCATTGGAAGGTCAGCCTTCCAATAAACAATACAAATATCAGCATATGTTACTTTCTACATGTTTATCTTAGAAATCTAAAGCAGAATAATGAATAAACAAGATCTTATAGATCTAGATTCATCAGTTCCCATCGCTTTTATACTTATTCAACTTTCTTGGCTACTTGCTATTCCAATCTTTGATTTCCCTCTACTTCTACATTTCTACTTCCTCTTTCAGGTTTATTTTATGAGTACAGTAGAGTCTTGCATATCCAGCCTTCACTCACCCAACGTTCTGTATTATCCAACGCAGTATGCATCCCATCCAATCCACAGTTGTTTCAATACATTGTGATGTTTTGGTGCTAAATTCGTAAACACAGTAATTACTACATAATGTTGCCATGTATTGAATTGCTTTTTATGTCGATTTGTTGGTGTTTTGGTGCTTAATTTGTAAAATCATACTATAATTTGACATTTAACAGGCTTTTCTTTAATCCCTCTGTACAGTGATGCGCGAACCAATTATACAGATGTGGATGATTAAGGAGGGAATTAATCTCAGGCCTCAATTGTGTATAAGAATATATTATAGAGGAGGCCAATTATTACTTGTAAATTAAGGTAACTGCCACCAACGTGAGGTATTTGAGGTACCACCGATGAGATCTGGCTTTACAGAGGCAGATTAATTGAGATGAGACAGTCTTCAACAAAAGATAACATGTTTATTGTGTACAAAGCGTATGGTTGCAGGCTGTTAAATAGCTTATAGAACTTTGAATATCACTTGGTTTTACTGAGGTGAAGCTCTTTAGTGAACAATGTTTCCTACTATGAATAGCCTTCCAATTTGATCTTTCCTTGATCAAATCTCTGATCTCTAGTCCTTCCTTGACTAGGGATCTTAACAAGCTTCCTTTAGTCTTCCTTGACTAAAGAAACTGGCCAGGTTTTTCTCTTCAGCCCTTCTAGACTGAAAAACCTCCAGCTGCTCACACACACCTCTCTCCCAGGCTTTTCAAGCCTCCACACTCACTCACACACTCTGCCCCTTTTTCCAAAGACGTACATAACGTTTTCTGCTTGGCTCCGCCCACTTCTCACTCTCCTGAGCTAGCCTGCCTGGTCTCCTTGGCAACGCTCACTGTGGATTCAAACCAGATAACTCTAGTTTTAGCTACTGTTGCAAACACAAATATATACTCTAACAGTTAAACACATACATAGTATCAATGACTTCTGCACACCTCCTTATTCAACATTTTTCCTTATCCAACGTTCTGCCGGCCCATTTATGTCGGATAAGCGAGACTCTACTGTACTGCTTGTAGCTACTCTACAGTTCAAATCTGAGGGTTATCAAATTGGCAGCAGACTTGTTGCTTTTGTGTAAAAATATAACTGTGAACTCTAGAACTGATGTTTTGATAAGAAAGGCCACTCAAATTCAGCTTTTATTTGATCTGATAGCTTCTTTTTCTAAGGTAATCTTTTCCCTGAGTAAATGCACACACCTTTTATTCTGATGGCACATGGAAAGTGATGTTTTTGAATCATCTGGGTTTTCTTGGCAAGATTTTCTGGGTAAAATTCCAATAAAATATGTATGTTGAAGTTACTAACATTAGCAGAATTCCCCCCCCCCCCCCCCCCGTCCCTCATGCATCAATTGAAGGATAGATAGTGTGTAGAAGAAAGAGAGGAGAGAGTGAAAATGAAGGTTCCAGTGTCAAACAAAGTCAAACAAACACAATCACTATTATGAAAATAATGTGAGAAAAGTGTGTAATGGTGTACTGTATGAAATGATATGAATGCATGTTTGCTATCAATGTGTGCATGGATATGAGTATGTGCAAGCCACAAGGATTTGATGTCAGATGTTTTCTTGTGGTGTCACAGGAGAGTGGTTTCGTATGCATTGGTTGATAGCTTTTGTGCAGTGGATATGATGTGTCGACAAGATGACTGGTATATAGCCGGTCTGCATATTATGTGAGCTCATGAATGTGGTTTCATTTATAAGCAAATAACTTTGAATATTATTATTATTATTATTATTATTTATAGGATTTATATACTGCTTTTCTCACCCCTAGGGGGACTCAAAGCGGTTGATTGTTTGGGGGGGGGGGGCTAGAAATGCCTAGAAAAATGTTATCTCTATGTCCTGAGTTGCCCTTCAAAAAACAGCCTTTAAACAATTTTGAAAGTAAAAGAAAAATGCTTTGCTCCAGCAAACACAGAGGATAAGCAAATGCAATTGAAAAGTGCACAAGAAAACAAGGAAGTCTTAATCTAGATACAAATTTAAGTCTCTTACAAAGTTCCAAAAGAAACACCAGTCTTCCATCAGAACTAAGTTCTTAGCAGCAGACGCAAAGCAGATTCCATAGGAGTGGAAACAGCAGTATCAGGGTCGTTGTTACCAGCAAAAGCTGACTGCTCCTGCCTCTGATTTATAGCCCTGAATTCCCCACGCAGGAGGTGGTAGGGTGTCTCCCAATTAGCTCAGCGTTTTTAGCAGCTATTCTGGCTGAACGAAGTCTGTGCTCTGTCTCTTTTTGTCTCTCTAAAAGTATGGGCACTTCATCGTCTGATTCTTCTTCTCCCTCCAGTTCCTGAGCACTTCTCTGCTCCCCTTCCTCTTCCAGTGATGAGGAATCCCCAACACTCTAGGCCTCCAGAATAATTCTATGGTCAACTTCACCAAAGCTTCCAGGTTATCCAAAAATTATTTTACGTCAAGTGTCCTGGAACACATCCCTCACTTACTTACCATATAAAGCAAATATGAAAAACTGATATTTGGGGTATAAACAGAGAAGATGGTTTTATGTATGCTGTGTGTGGCACTATAACGGAAAGATCTCACGGTACATTATATTGTACACATGCATAACATTTTAAAACAAATGTGATGGAAGTAATTAAGAATCCATCATAATTCAAAAGCGGTCTTACATTATATTTATTTTGCCAAATGTCAAGAGCCAGTCTTTGGACTGTTATACAACTCCACCCCCATATTCAAACACACACATCTGTCACCCTTTGTTTAAAAATGCCAAATTTCCATGAACGTATTATGCCTCTTTTTCTTACTATACAAAAAGCAAAAAGAGCAGAATTTATATATGTGTAAATCTCTTTCTCTCCCTTTTCATTGTAATGGATAGCAGCAGATTCACTATTCTTTGGTGAAATCTAGTGAAGTTTTTCATTTTTTTAAACTGTATTTTTATTAATGTATGGCACTAAAATTGCTATCTCTGTGAGTTGTCTTGAATTGCCGCAAGGCTGAGAAAGGCGGGCTACAAATGCCGCAAATAAATAAATAAATAAATAAATAAATAAATAAATAAATAAATAACATCATCTTGGCATATGCTTTGTGGAAAGAACATTATGGCAGCTCTACCTCATGTTTCATTTTAACACTCAGAAACAATTGTTCTAAAGCAGGAGTCCTCAAACTTTTTAAACAGAGGGCCAGGTTACAGTCCCTCAAACTATTGGAGGGCTGTATTATCATTTGAAAAAAAAAAAAGAATGAATTCCTATGCACACTGCACATATCTTATTTGTAGTGCAAAAAAAACACCTAAAAACAATACAATAATTAAAATGAAGAACAATTTTAACAAATATCAACTTATTAGTATTTCATTGGGAAGTGTGGACCTGTTTTTGGCTGATGAGATAGGATTGTTGTTGTTTTTGTGTGCTTGCAAGTCATTTCAGACTTAGGTTGACCCTGAGCAAGGGCTGGGTAAATGACCTTGGAGGGCCGTATCCAGCCCCCAGGCCTTAGTTTGAGGGTCCTGTTCTAAAGATATGTGTGAGATTTGAGATACCTTGGAAATAATTGTATCATATCAGAGGTTATAATGAAAGGAAAAATCACTCCTCAGGTGTGCAGTTTCCAAACATTTTCAGTCATGGAGCTCTTCGGAAGACTCCCCCCCCCCCCCCCCCCCCCCCCGAATGCCAAGTAACTCTAGTTTTTACTATGCACTGTGAATCTGTCTTTCAACTACTTCTATTGCTTGAGTGTTTGGATAATGTAGGTTTGGAAATAAAGAAAAATATGTTAAAGATTATATTTGTAAAAGAAAATTCTTCATTTTAATTATTGTATTGTTTTTAAGTGTTTTTTGCACTACAAATTAGATATATGCAGTGTGCATAGGAATTCATATTTTTTTTCCAAATTATATTCCTGCCCACCACAGTTTGCGGAGCTGTGACCTGGCCCTCTGTTTAAAAAGTTTGAGGACCCCTATTCTGGGAATTATCTCAAAGAAAGGAGGAGATTTCCTCATTTTTGCTCATCCACTGAGCTTGGACCTTCTGCAGATGTCATTTTCTTTGCTTATAAGCAAATGCAGAAAAGTTGATCCCAAGTGTCAATATCCTCAACATTCAGTAGAGTAGACTAGAAATGCGCTGTGTACTGTTATGGTTATGAGTTCCTCAAGTTGACTTAAGGTGACCCCATCACAGGGTTTTCTCAGCAAGATTTTTGCAGAGGTGGACTTGCCAATGCCTTCCTCTGAGGCTGAGAGCTTGTTAAATGCCCAGAGATATTAAATGGATTTCTATGGTTGAGCAGGGAAGCCAGCCTTATTTTCCCATGTCCAGCAGTCAGACCACTACTTAATCTATATAAATAAAAAATGTAATGTTCGTTTGTGGGATTCACAGAACTCAAAAACCGCTGGACAATTTGACACCAAATTTGGACACAAGATACCTAACAACCCAATGTTTGTCCTTCACTCAAAAAAATGATTTTGCCATTTGGGAGTTGTAGTTGCTGGGATTTATAGTTCACCTACAATCAAAGAGCATTCTGAACCCCACCAACGATGGAATTGAACCAAACTTGGCACACAGTTCTCCCATGACCAACAGAAAATACTGGAAGGGTTTGGTGGGCAGTGTCCTTTGGTTTTGGAGTTGTAGTTCACCTACATCCAGAGATCACTGTGGACTCAAACAATGATGGATCTGGACCAAACTCTACACGAATACTCAATATGCCCAAATGTGAACACTGGTGGAGTTTGGGGAAAATAGAATATCGACATTTAGGAGTTGTAGTTGCTGGGATTTATAGTTCACCTACAATCACAGAGCATTCTGAACCCCACCAACAATAGAATTGGGCCAAACCTCCCAAACAGAACCCCCATGTGGGCCACAGCAACGCGTGGCACGGGATAGCTAGTTGTGTATAAATGTGTATTCCCTCCTTGGCTCGCTTCATATTTAAGGTTTACTGCTTCTGTGAAAGGAATAGATTATGAACTGTCTCTGAGCACAAGTCTCACAAAGTGCTGGTGGTTTTCGATTTGCTTACATGTAAGGTTCTCTTCACTGGGATTCCTGAGACCCAGTGTGATTGCCATGGACTGAACCCATTCATTTTTCTTCCCCAGAAGAGACAGAAGGAGGAGACACCACATGTCGATGTGGGAACCACGCAGCAGCAATCTGTATGTGTGCATGTGTTGCTTGTTGTGAGAGGTTATGTGTGTTTGTGGAATTTGCGTGTGTAGCCAGTATTCCATGTTGATGTTGTGAGTATGTATGTATGTATTTCTATTCTTTGGGTGTGCTGTCTGAACAAATGTGAGTTTATCTGTGTCCCTTGTATGTTTGTGTGTATGCATCTATGTATATATCTGTATGTGTGTTTGCACTGTATACAGCTGTGTGCTGCAGGGAGATGTGTACATGAACCATCTAAAGTAGCTTTATGATTTGTGTGTGTGTGTGTGTGTACATTTCTATTTTGTCTGTGTGTGAAAATTAATGGTTGTACTCTGAGTGTTTGCTGATGTGTTTCAAACAGAGTGTGTGTTTGTGTGTCTATGTATGCCTGTTCTGGTATGTCTACTTGTTCAGTTTTTGTCTGTGCACTGTTATAATACTTTATAAACTAATCCCCACCCTCCAAAAAACATAAAGTCAGTACTATAGATATTCCTATTACAGAGAAGTCACATTTTTCAGACTGTTAAGTCCCTTTTTCTGTAGACTGTCTTGAGAAAGAGTGGGAGACTAGGTGAGCGCTAACAGTGGAACACAGGTTCTGGTTTTGGGATATCACATCTGGAAAGGGTATGCCTTGGGTGAGAAAAATTCCTGCCCCGGAAAGGAGCTGAGATTAGTAAATAATCTGGCACTCTCATCCTGTACATGTTTACTTATGAGTAAGTCATAGTTTATGGAGGATTATTTTCAAGTAAATTCATTTCGGATTGTGACCATAGTTAGTGGAACAGGAGAGGAGAAGACCTCAACCATTGTCTGTCCAGCTCTCAAGATGAGAATACTGGGTTAGCTAAATGGTCCGGATACATTTGCTCTGAAGCTTAGCTATAGGGCTTGGTGCTGCATGCCTCCCCTTTTGCTGCCCTTACCTGAAGCACCTGCATGTATTTCCTTCAGCTCTTACTACTCTGCCATCTTTAGCCTGCTTACCGATTACCAACCTCTGTAGAGCAGTAAAGGACATGTCTCATTTGTTTATTTGATGGGCCAATCTTGACACACCCTTGTGTTTGCATGTAGCTCATCAGACAATCCTTGTCACGTCCATGTTTTGTGGTCAATATTACTTGTTTAAATGCACTGTAAATTTATTTAAAATTTAAATACATGCAGTCAATAGCCACATGCTTAAGCATTATGCTAGGTTGGGTGGATGGGAGAGCAGATCAACCATCTATCTTGGGGAATGTCTCTCCTCTGTTGTGTTTATTCTCCTGTTGTTTGTGATTGCATGTGAAATGTAGGGTGGGAATCTTTTCTAGTTATTTGTTGATCTCATATAAGTGGGCTTGGTTATCTCATATTCCTGCAGATAATGATATTTTGAAGAGCCCAGGAACCCCTTTGGCCACTAGGGTTATTCTCTCATGATCCGGAGATGATGACGTTATGAAGGGCCAGGAAATTCCTTTATAATAATAATAATAATAATAATAATAATAATAATAATAATAATAATTAGGTTTTTGTGGATTTTTTCGGGCTATAGGGCCATGTTCTAGAGGCATTTCTCCTGACGTTTCGCCTGCATCTATGGCAAGCATCCTGAGAGGTTGTGAGCAGACCTCACTACCTCTGAGGATGCTTGCCATAGATGCAGGAAACGTCAGGAGAGAATGCCTCTAGAACATGGCCATATAGCCCGAAAAAACCACAAGAACCCAGTGATCAGCCATGAAAACCTTCGACAATACAATTATTATTATTATTATTATTATTTATTTATTTATTTATTTATTTACATTATTTCTATCCCACCCATTTCAGCCCGAAGGTGACTCAGCCCGAAGGTGACACAGTCAGCAAAATTCTATGCCGAAACAAAATACATACATTAATAAAGCAAAAACATCAAGTGCAATCAAACATAAATGATAGTGCATAATAAACAATTTAAAAAGAAACGATGTCCTCTCGTTCAAATTTTCATCCGTTACATTGTCTTGGCCGTTCCTGGGTCTATTTCCAACTCTAGTTTGTCAGTTTACTCCAGGGTTCCGAATGCTTGCTCGAAGAGCCAAGTTCTTATTCTTTTTTGGAAAGTCAGAAGGGAGGGGGCTGACCTAATATCCCTAGACAGGGAGTTCCACATCCGGAGGGGCCACCACAGAGAAGGCCCTGTCTCTCGTCCCCACCAAGCGTGCTTGCGAAGCAGACGGGATCGAGAGCAGGACCTCTCCAGATGATCTTAAGTTCCTGGGGAGTTCGTAGGGAGAGATGCGTTCAGATAGATAGACTGGGCCTGAACAGTTTAGGTCTTTATAGGCTAAAGCCAGCACTTTGATTTGAGCCCGGTAGCAGACTGGCAGCCAGTGGAGCTGATTCAACAGAGGAGTTGTATGCTCCCTGAGCCCCGCTCCTGTTAGCAACCTGGCTGCCACACACTGGACCATTTGAAGTTTCCGGGCCATCTTCAAAGGCAACCCTATGTAGAGCGCGTTGCAGTAATCTATAGGGGATGTAACCAGAGCATGGACTACCGTGGCCAAGTCAGACTTCCCAAGGTACGGGCACAGCTGACGCACAAGTTTTAATTGTGCAAATGCTCCCCTGGTCACCGCCGAAACCTGGGGTTCCAGGCTCAGCGATGAATCCAGGATCACACCCAAGCTGCGAACCTGCGTCTTCAGGGGGAGTGTAACCCCGTCCAACACAGGCTGTAACCCTATGCCCTGTTCGGCCTTTCGACTGACCAGGAGTACCTCTGTCTTGTCTGGATTCAATTTCAATTTGTTTGCCCTCATCCAGACCATCACAGAGGCCAGGCACCGGTTCAGGACTTGGACAGCCTCCTTAGCATCTGGTGGAAATGAGTGACAGAGTTGGACGTCATCTGCATACAGATGGAATCGAACTCCAAAACTCTGGATGATCTCACCCAGTATCTTCATGTAGATGTTAAATAACATGGGGGACAGTATAGAGCCCTGCGGGACCCCACAAAACAATAGTTGTGAGGTTGAGCAGTTGTCCCCCAATAACACCTTCTGAGTGCGATCCTCTAGGAAGGACCTGAGCCACTGCAAAACAGTGCCACCAAGGCCCATTCCTGCGAGGCGTCCCAGAAGGATACCGTGGTCGATGGTATCGAAGGCCGTTGAGAAGTCCAGCAGAACCAACAGGGACACACTCCCCCTGTCTAGCTCCCGGCGAAGATCATCTACTAATAATAAACAACTTTATTTGTACCCCGCCACCATCTCCCCCAATGGGGACTCGGGATAATAATAATAATAATAATAATAATAATAATAATAACTTTATTTATATACCGCTCCATCTCCCCAAGGGGACTCAGTTCCCAGGTAACATCACAAAACATACAAAGTAAAAAACAACATAACCATAAGATTAACAAAACAAAATATAAGCATAAAAATTGTCGCCATAACACACATATATTAAAAGTAATCCTGCCTGTTCAAGGCAATTAAAAAATTTAAAAGGCCGGGCCAAGATTTGTGCAAGCCCAAAAATTCTAGGGGGCCCGGGAATTAAGTGCAATGCTATGGCAGGCAACAATAATATTAGTTACGGGTCTGTGGCCAAGCCCAAACAACAAATTACGATAAAATAAGATACAAATTACAATAAAATAAACAACGTAGCATTAAAGTATAAAACATATAAGCATAATAAACAATATGCACAAAACATAAAAAAGCAGTAAACCAAACATAATGACAATGAGAGGGCCGCATGTACATAAAATGATTTAAAAACTCAGGGTGAGATAAAGGAGCAGAATTATTTGTAAGGGAGAACACGTAGAGAGACGGGGAAATAGACAGATAATAACAATAACAATAACAATAACAATAATAATAATAATAATAATAATAATAATAATAACAACAACAACTTTGGGTTGTTGTAGGTTTTTCCGGGCTATATGGCCATGTTCTAGAGGCAATTTTTCTCCTGACATTTCGCCTGCATCTATGGGAAGCGTCCTCAGAGAAAATACTGCACTGTCTGACCTCATTACCTCTGAGGATGCTTGCCATAGATGCAGGCGAAACGTCAGGAGAAAAATTGCCTCCAGAACATGGCCATATAGCCCGGAAAAACCTACAACAACCTATGGATTCCGGCCATGAAAGCCTTCGACAATACAATAATAACATTATTTGTACCCCGCTACCATCTCCCCAGTGGCGCAGTGGGTTAAACCCCTGTGCCGGCAGGACTGAAGACCTACAGGTCGCAGGTTCGAATCCGGGGAGAGGCAGATGAGCTCCCTCTGTCAGCTCCAGCTCCCCAGGCGGGGACATGAGAGAAGCCTCCCACAAGGATGAAACATCAAATCATCCGGGCGTACCCTGGGCATCGTCCTTGCAGACAGCCAATTATCTCACACCAGAAGCGACTTGCAGTTTCTCAAGTCACTCCTGACACGACAAAAAAAACCAAAACCATCTCCCCAAGGGACTCGGTGTGGCTTACATGAGGCCAAGCCCACAACACATACAATAAATAAAAGCAATAACAATAATCAAGACAAAACAGTTAAAATAAACTCAAAACAGGAAATATACAATAAGCAATAACAATAACATATCGCAACATGCAGCATTTTAAAAAATCTATGGCTGGGCCAAATGTAATAATTCAAATTCAATATCAAACAGACCTTCATACGGGGGGGTACTCCTTGGACAAAAGTGTTGAGGGAAGCAATAGCTTACGATTGTGTGGCTACTCTCCAAAAGCGCAGCGGCAGAGCCAGGTCTTGAGATTCTTTTTAAAGGTTTCTAAGGTAGGGGCTTTCCTAATCTCTTCTGGCAATGAGTTCCAGAGTTGGCGGGCCACAGAAGGGTTGTAAGGGAGTTTATTATAGTATAGCGTTTCAACAGAAAGGAAGAGACCATGAAAATGAACAAAATCTGGCTACCAGTATTAAAAAAACTCTAAAATTACAACAGCAAAACAGCAGAGAGGAAACAACCAGGCACATCTTAACACCTCTCAACAAAACATTCCCCCAGGCTCAGCCAGGCCTTCAAATGCTAATGAAGGTGGTCAGTTGAAACATTCACACCTAGCTCCAGCAGAGAAGAGCTTTGCCCCACTCCAGCCATTCCACAGATATATAAACCCTTGTCCTAATTCCAATAGACCTCACTACCTCTGAGGATGCTTGCCATAGATGCAGGCGAAACGTCAGGAGAAATGCCTCTAGAACATGGCCCTATAGCCCGAAAAAAACCCACAAGAACCTAGTGATTCCAGCCATGAAAGCCTTCAACAATACAGTTATTGGTTTATTTGTGAAATGCAGGGAAACAGAGAACCAAGCCCCAGTATGTGGTTTTTGGATGGTCCCAGTTGCATGCTGTATATATTGGTATGTGTGTTCTTGTGTTTCTGACAGGGCACAGATGGACTGAATCCCTTTGTTTTCCTTTCCCAGGAGGGAGAGGAGAAGGCGGCATCACATGTCTGTCTGGGAACAGCGGACCAGCCAGCTCCGCCGACACATGCAGATGTCCAGCCAAGAGGGCATCAACAATGAAGACCCTCCTTTGCTCAATCCTCATGCCAGCATTTTTCGGAGGAGGAAGCCACTGGAAAATTCTGGCCTTGAAAAGAATGAGGAGGGTCAAGCGGACAGGTCAGAGAGGACAAATGGAGAAGGCCAGGACCCACAGAACTCTGGTTCCAATCCCTGCCCAAGCATTCAGGAAAACCAGAGGAGCCCATCTTCTCGACCCAAGAGGGAATGGGAAGAATGGCATCACAAATCATTTCATGGGAACTGTGACCTGAATGAGCCGGAAGGTGGAGGAAGTGGGGGCTTTGAGGAGCGAGCCCGCCTTCGACAAAGTCAGAGGCGAAGTCGGCACCGGAGGGTGAGAACAGAGGCAAAGGAGCACAGGGCAGCCAGCCAGGAGATGGCCCCAGAAGAAGCTGCACCCGTGGAGGGAGAGCAGAATGTGGAGCAGAAGAAAAATGAAGAGGAGAAGGAGGCCTTGATTGAAAAGGAGCAGGGGACTGGTGAGGAGCTGAAAATGTAAGTGATAAAATCTCTCCCTCTGTCGTCTCTGCATTTTCTTCTCTATAAGGGAATGTTCCCACATTCTCTTTATGTGCTGTCTATCATATGATGGAAAGATATAAGGGAATTCTATGCTACCTTTGAGACTGAGAAAAAGGAAATTTTATCACAAGCTTTCATGGACTTTGTTCTGCTTCCTTAGGTAAAGCAGACTAATTATTATTTTTATTTATTTCCAGCATTTCTACCTTGTCCTTCTCAACACCCGAAGGGGGACTCGGGACGGCTTACATTTGGCACAATTTTTTTAATGAATTTTATTGAGTTTTCAAAGTGACAGTATAAAAAAATTATGGGGAAATGCTGAGGTGCTTAAAGGAGGATGGGTATGTAGAGAAAATTGGGAAGAAAGAGGGATGAGTTAGAATAAAAAATCTGATCCTATGTGTATCAATGCAAACTTGCACAGGCACTCGGCCCATAGCCAGGATTTCGATTCGGGGGGGGGGGGGCTGAATCCGAGTGAAAGAGGGTCTACCCTAGCAAACCTTTTGTATCGTTACCCCAATACCCCCATGCATATGGGATATATTGAGTAGGGTGATCAGATCATGATATGAATAAACATAACAGTTTAAATAATGTACCAGTAAGGCCTTTTCGCGAACCACCATAAGAATTTCGTGGAGGGGGGACTGAAGCCCCCCAAGCCCCCTCCCCCCCCGGCTACATGCCTGGCACTCATCCTTGTTTTATGATGAAATCTTTTCTCTATAAAAAAACTCTGCTTGTTACTTGGTGCGTTATTGCATAATTTCCACAGAATATAATTATGTTACTTTTTTATAGCTGATTTTTACGATACCCCGTGATAATGCAGCATGTCTCATTAAGAGCCACATCCACTGTTTTAGTGTGGTGAGATGTGTTCCACACTGGGCATGCACACTCAGCAGCAGAGTAGCATAGTGCAAGGGCAGATGTCTTCACTGTGTCTGGTTGTGATCCCCAGGTTGTGCCAGTCAGCTTTCGTATGATATTGTTTCTAGCACCCACTTTTTGCTTGATGTTCAGGCAGTGCTTCTTGTAGGTCAGAGCATTGTCCAGAGTGACTCCCAGGTATTTGGGTGCGCTGCAATGCTCCAGTGGGATTCCTTCCCAGGTGATCCTCAGAGCTCGGGATGCTTGTCTGTTCTTAAGGTGAAAGGCACATGTCTGTGTTTTAGATGGATTAGGGATCAGCTGGTTTTCCCTGTAATAGGCAGTAAGAGCACCTAGAGCTTCGGAGAGCTTCTGTTCAACCATCTCAAAGCTCCCTGCTTGAGCGGTAATGGCACGATCATTAGCAGGGGGGGGGTGTACATTTTAGATGCAATTTTATTTAATTAAAAAGAGTGGGAGAAACGATTCTGCCCAGCTTGACCCTCTGGGCAATTTACATCAAAATATCTTAAAGACAAAGTCTCTTAAAGTAGACATTAAATTGCAATTATTTTAGATTTAATTAAGAATGCAGTAAAAAGTGCATGAGCTGTGAGTGAATTCCTATAAAAGCCCATATGTATTCTATCACTGGGGAAAGTGTAATAAGAATTCACTTAGTCGTACGGTTCTACACTAAAACAATTTCATCAGGTCTAAAAGGCCAGGAATATTTAAATAAGTTAGGAAAGGATTTGCCTGTCAATCTTCTATGGAGTTTAATCTTGCCCTCAGTTTCTGTGTTTCATTTGCCTATAATAGTTGAGTGTATCCAGTTCATGACCAATCTGAAATGACAAAATCCTAACAGTGCATGGGTCTCAATATTCTTGATATCTATTATTAAGACATAGTGTGATTGGCCAGTTTCCAATCTCCCCTATTTAAGCAAAGTCATGGAACGTATGGTGGCTTCGCAACTCCAAGAGTTCTTGGTAGACACTGATTATCTAGATCCGGCTTTAGGCCAGGACATGGAACTGAAACAGCCTTGGTCACCTTAGTAGATGATCTACGTCGGGAGCTAGACAGGGGAAATGTGTCCCTGTTGGTTCTGCTGGACCTCTCAGCAGCCTTCGATACTGTTGACCACGGTATCCTTCTGGGACGCCTCGCAGGAATGGGACTTGGAGGTACTGCTCTCCAGCGGCTTCAGTCCTTCCTGGAGGGACAGTCCCAGAAGGTGTCATTTGGTGACACCTGTTCGACTCCACAACCATTGTCTTATGGAGTCCGTCAGGGTTCAGTACTGTCCCTGATGTTGTTTAACATCTACATGAAGCTGCTGGGGGAGTTTCAAAGTGCAATGTTATGATGTCCACATCTGTCACTCCTTCCCACCCGTTACCAAGGAGGCTGTTCAGACCTTGAACCGGTGCTTGGCCACTGTGTCGGACTGGATGAGGGCTAACAAATTGAAATTGAATCCAGACAAGACAGAAGTCCTCCTGGTCAGTTGAAAGGCCGAACAGGGCATAGGGTTACAGCCTGTGTTGGATGGGGTTACACTCCCCCTGAAGACGCAGGTTCGCAGCTTGGGAGTGACTCATCGCTGAGCCTGGAACCTCAGGTCTCAGCGGTGGCCAGGGGAGCTTTTGCACAGTTAAAGCTTGTGCGCCAGCTGCGCCCGTACCTTGGGAAGTCTGACTTGGCCACGGTGGTCCACGCTCTGGTTACATCCCGAATAGATTACTGCAATGCACTCTACGTGGGGTTGCCTTTGAAGACTGTTCGGAGACTTCAACTAGTCCAACGGGCAGCAGCCAGATTACTCACCGGAGCGCCATACAGGGAGCATACCACCCCCCTGCTGCGTCAGCTCCACTGGCTGCCGGTCCACCTCCGAGCACAATTCAAAGTGCTGTTCTTGGCCTATAAAACCCTATATGGCTCTGCCCCAGCTTACTTATCCAAACGTATCTCTCTCTACGTTCCACCTCATAATTTAAGATCTACTGGGGAGGCCCTGCTTTCGGTCCCAGCGGCATCACAAACGCGTCTGGTGGGGACGAGGGACAGGGCCTTCTCAGTGGTGGCCCCTCGCTTGTGGAATTCGCTCCCCAATGAGATTAGATCGGTGTCCTCCCTCCTCACTTTTAGGAAAAAACTAAAGTCGTGGTTTTGGAGTCAGGCTTTCAGCTAGTGGACTTAGCAGCACTTAGACACTGAACCGGACCACAGGATTATGACAATAGGAAACGGATATGTGATTTTGATTAGGCGACTATGTTAGTATATGAGTATGTGATTTTAATTAATGTTATTGTTAATTTTTTATGTATTTGATTTTATGTTGTTGTATTGATATTATGGCATTGAATTGTTGCCCATGTAAGCCGCCCTGAGTCCCCCCTCGGGGGTGGGAAGGGCGGGGTAGAAGCAATGTTAATTAATTAATTAATTAATGTTTAAGCATTAATAAAAGGTTGGAATGTTGGGGTGGCCTTTCTATATCCACTTCTAATGACTGTTATGATTCCTAATATGCTGGCTTTAATTAAATATAGGGTCAAACTGTAAGGGTCTGCATGAAGAAGTGTCAAAGTTTCTCTCTACTCCCTTGCACTATTTTAAATTTTAACCCTTAACTTTCTTTGAGAACTTTTTATTCTTTGTTCTGCCAGCAAAACGACATCCCTCTTCTCTCTGCCATTTTATCTCCTTGTGATACTCTTTTTCTCCATTCTCCACACAGAACCAATGAAGTCCCAGTAAATGATGCTGGCTTTCATGTGGCCACCCAAGAAACCAACCCTTCCGAAGGCCATCTTGATCTAAGCAAAAGCAAGGATGTCAGTCCAGTCGAGCAAGACGGTAACAGCCCAGACACAAGTGAGCAAGCACTGTTGGGTGACCTGCCAAAGGAGACAGGCCGGACTATTAGCAGAAGTGAACCAGATCTCTCCTCCATCACAACCAACGTGGAGAAACTCACCGAGAGCACTACCATCATGATTGATGTTCAAGACTCTGCTGTGGTACAGAGTGAGGATCTGTCTCTTTTCATGCTTTATATCAAAACTCAGTCTGTTAAGAGAGTTGTAAAAAATGCCATAAATGCCAAAAATCTTCCTCTCAGCATAGGCTGAGCATTGGGAATCTCACTGGCTCACTGTGCACCTGGGTGTAAATCTTTTTGTGTTTTCCACACTTGGTTAATTTTTCAATTGCATGATCTCTCAACATGTGAAACTCAGAACTTACTTACTTACTTACTTAGGCGATCCCTCGTTTTCTGAGGAGGATTGTCTTCCAGTATTCTTATGGGTCCGTATGTGGCTGTGGAGCCCTATTCTTGCTCTGCATCTTCTTCCGCAGTGAGGGCATTGGTTTCCAGGTGGAAGGCGGTCTCGGTCGGGGTTGGCTTGACGCGCCTTCCTCTTGGCACGCTTCTCCCTTTCGCCCTCCATTCGTGCCTCTTCAAATTCTGCAGCACTGCTGATCACAGCTGACCTCCAGCTGGAGCGCTCAAGGGCCAGGGCTTCCCAGTTCTCAGTGTCTATGCCAGTTTTTAAGGTTGGCTTTGAGCCCATCTTTAAATCTCTTTTCCTGCCCACCAACATTCCGTTTTCATTCTTGAGTTTGGAGTAGAGCAACTGCTTTGGGAGACAGTGGTCGGGCATCCGGACAACATGGGCGGTCCAGCGGAGTTGATGGCGGAGGACCATTGCTTCAATGCTGGTGGTCTTTGCTTCTTCCAGAACGCTGACATTTGTCCGCTTGTCTTCCCAAGATATTTGTAGGATTTTCCGGAGGCAGTGCTGATGGAATCGTTCCAGGAGCTGCATGTGACATCTGTAGACAGTCCACGTTTTGCAGGCATATAGCAGGGTTGGGAGGACAATAGCTTTATAAACAAGCACCTTGGTATCCCTACAGATGTCCCGGTCCTCAAACACTCTCTGCCTAATTCGGAAAAATGTTGCGCTCGCAGAGCTCAGGCGGTGTTGTATTTCGGTGTCGATGTTGTCTTTGGTGGAGAGGTGGCTGCCAAGATAACGGAAAAGATCAACATTTTCTAATGTTACACCATTAAGCTGTATCACTGGCATTGGAGAGGGGTTGGCTGGTGTCTGCTGGAACAGCACCTTGGTTTTTTCAATGTTCAATGACAGGCCGAGCTTCTCGTATGCTTCTGCAAAGGTGTTTAGAGTGGCTTGTAGATCTTCTTCTGAATGCACACAGACAACGTTGTCATCAGCATACTGGAGTTCTATAACAGATGTTGTTGCAACCTTGGTTTTGGCTTTCAGTCTGCTGAGGTTGAATAGCTTGCCATCTGTCCGATAGATTATTTCCACTCCGGGGGAAGCTTCCCATCAACAAGGTGAAGTATCATAGCGATGAAGATGGAGAATAAAGTTGGGGCAATAACACATCACTGTTTGACACCAGATTCCACCTTAAATGGGTCATTTTGGGAGTCATTGCTGTCCAAAACTGTTGTCATCATGGAGGAGCCGCAGGATGTTCACAAATTTGCTTGGGCACCCGATTTTTTGGAGGATGATCCAGAGAGTGCTGCAATTTACTGTGTCGAATGCCTTTGCAAGGTCGATGAATGCCATGTACAGAGGTTGATTTTGTTCTCTGAATTTTTCTTGGAGCTGTCGTGCAGTGAAGATCATGTCCACAGTTCCTCTGGAGGGGGGGAAGCTGTCCTGGGATTTCCAGGAATGTACCCAACCTCTTCCAGCCCTTTACCACCTCAGGCCACATGGCAGAACATTGCAGAACATTGCATGGCAGAACATTGTCAAATTTTCTTCAGTGTTTAGTGTTGTTTGCTTAGGTTACACCATAAAATTTGCTTCTCACCCTCCCATCTGCATTTTTCACCATTCCTTCCCCTCCCAGGTTCAGAAACTCAGATCATTTATGAATGATCATGTGGAGCCAGATCCATTGGCAAACATTTTATTCTGAAATAATCTGACTATTTGGTCTGTGTCATTATATCGATTAAAGGCATCTTTCCAAATTTAAATGTGATTGTTGCAGGCAGTAAATTGTTGTTGTTCATTCGTTCAGTCGTCTCCGACTCTTCGTGACCTCATGGACCAGCCCACGCCAGAGCTCCCTGTCGGCCGTCACCACCCCCAGCTCCTTCAAGGTCAGTCCAGTCACTTCAAGGATGCTATCCATCCATCTTGCCCTTGGTCGGCCCCTCTTCCTTTTGCCTTCCACTTTCCCCATCATGATTGTCTTCTCTAGGCTTTCCTGTCTCCTCATGATGTGGCCAAAGTACTTCAACTTTGTCTCTAGTACCCTTCCCTCCAATGAGCAGTCGGGCTTTATTTCCTGGAGGATGGACTGGTTGGATCTTCTCGCAGTCCAAGGCACTCTCAGCACTTTCCTCCAACACCACAGCTCAAAAGCATCGATCTTCCTTCGCTCAGCCTTCCCTAAGGTCCAGCTCTCACATCCGTAGGTGACTACAGGGAATACCATGGCTTTGACGAGGCGGATCTTTGTTGCCAGTCTGATGTCTCTACTCTTTACTATTTTATCGAGACTGGACATTGCTCTCCTCCCAAGAAGTACATCTCCCGATTTCCTGGCCACAGTCTGCATCTGCAGTAATCTTTGCGCCTAGAAATACAAAGTCTGTCACGGCCTCCACATTTTCTCCCTCTATTTTCCAGTTGTCAATCATTCTTGTTGCCATAATCTTGGTTTTTTTATGTTTAGCTGCAACCCAGCTTTTGCGTTTTCTTCTTTCACTTTGATTAGAAGGCTCCTCAGCTCCTCCTCGCTTTCGGCCATCAGAGTGGTGTCATCTGCATATCTGAGGTTGTTAATGTTTCTTCCAGCAATTTTCACCCCAGCTTTGCATTCATCAAGCCCCGCACATCGCATGATGTGTTCTGCATACAAGTTAAAAAGTAAATAAGAGCCATATTTCTGGTTCATGTTAAACTCGGAAGCTATACTCAGTGCTTGTTATCTTTTCCTCAAAGTGGTCCTGGTAACTCCTCATACTGTGTGTGCTGAAGCCGTCCAGATTACTCTCCCCACAGTTTACCTTCATCCAATGAAAAAGCAACATCTTGGATGGTTCTGGTTGAGTAGTTCACTCCTTGCTCCCTTTTATATTTTACTTTTATATCACCTTTTTCCTATTTCTTCTTTGTCTATTCTTGTTCTCCCACCCCACAGCTATCTAGGGGGAACATAATGTTTCACCTTAGAGCTTTGGTCTTTCTTGGCCTATCTCGTTTTATGATTCTTTTCAAGTTTCTATTCAAAGCCTCACTTTTGACTTGATTTCCAGGAATGTACCCAACCTCTTCCAGCCCTTTACCATCTCAGGCCCCCACATGGCAAAACATTATCAAGTTTTCTTCAGTGTTTAGTGTTGTTTGCTTTGTTGTTGTTCATTTGTTCAGTCGTCTCCGACTCTTCGTGACCTCATGGACCAGCCCACGCCAGAGCTCCCTGTCGGCCGTCACCACCCCCAGCTCCTTCAAGGTCAGTCCAGTCACTTCAAGGATGCCATCCATCCATCTTGCCCTTGGTTGGCCCCTCTTCCTTTTACCTTCCACTTTCCCCTTCCACTTTCTGTCTCTAGTATCCTTCCCTCCAATGAGCAGCCGGGCTTTATTTCCTGGAGGATGGACTGGTTGGATCTTCTCGCAGTCCAAGGCACTCTCAGAACTTTCCTCCAACACCACAGCTCAAAAGCATCTATCTTCCTTCGCTCAGCCTTCCCTAAGGTCCAGCTCTCACATCCGTAGGTTACTACAGGGAATACCATGGCTTTGCTTAGATTACACCATTGTTTGCTTAGGTTACACCATAAAATTTGCTTTTCACCCTCCCATCTGCATTTTTCCCCATTCCTTTCCCTCCCAGGTTCTGAGAAAAGAGATCACTTGCCTCATAGCATGAAAAGGCAGTAGAACATCTACTAACACTCTCTCATTAGTTTATGATGTTAAAAAGAGACAGAGCTCTGTATTCCAATTTGGATTTCCAAGGTGTCAACTGGGATATCCAACTCTGAACTGTCAAGATTAGGCATGTGCGATCAATAAAAAAATGTTTCAAAACTCATTACAAAATTAGGGGGTGCTGGCATTTCATCTCTAAAGTATTTAATTAAAATTTCACTACTATAATGAAGTAATTATTAAGTAGTAAGGGGGGAAAGTTGTGTCCAGAGTCAAACACGACTGGATTTCATGTCAGGGGAAAACCTTTACCTTTATTATAATGAGAATAACAAAATCTCATTATTTTTTATTATAGTAATTTCACATAATTACAATTGGGAAACCTTCAGGGGCTCCATTCTCCCTCATTTTACAGCTATTGGGGTGAAACTTGCTACATTGGTGGAACACATTTACCACTGTTAGCCCATCAAGTGTCAAAATGTTTCATTTATCCATGGATTTTTGGGGAATTTTCAATTTTTAATTTTTTAAAAAAAAAACCCTACAAGAGCTATTTTCTTGAATTTTCTACACAATGACGCAAGATAACAGGATCATTCCCCCCAACTTTCAGAAATATTTATACATCTACTGGTTTTAGGAAACTTTTAAAAAAATGTCAAAACAATTTTTTAAAAGCCACAACAGCTATCTTATTGAATCTCTCTCATATTAATCAACAGAACTTCCATTTAGGGATTTCTTCCCAGCGCAAAAAATTCCTTACTAGAAGTATCAGTCAGTCCTCCTATATGAAAATTCAACGATTGGAACTCTGGCTGGCTGCTGCTATGGAGGGACAAATCTCTCCCCTATCCTGATTCGGCTTTCTGAGCTGAGCAGAATTCTGGGAAATGTAGTTTAGGGCTGGGCCTTTTGAATTCACTGGCAAAGGGCTCCTTGCCTTCCCAAACAACATTTCCAAGAATTCTATGCTTTCTTTCCCAGAGAACTCTGCTGTCTCCCTGCTGCTTCCTTCTCCTAATGGTGAGAGGTCGTTCATTTAAGGAGGAAAGGCAGCCTTTTTGGCTTTGCTTTGCTTTCTTG